CCCCCCCCGTCTCCATCACCGATACATAAACTCCGCAGTCCATCGCAATGGCCGACCACCAAAGTCCAGACAATGCACAGGGAACAGGGAACATGTATGGTATCGAGAACCTTGCCTCGGCGGCCTTAGCGAGTCGCGTCTCCCAGCCCACGACAACCGCGACGCGACCGGCGCAACAGCAACAGCAACCCCAGCTCGCGACGACGGAGCAGGAGTTATGGAGTATCTTGCAGCAGCATGATCCGACGCAAACACTGAACGCGACGGCGGCGGCGGCGGCGGCGGCGCAGAGTGCGCAGAGGTCGGGGAGTCAGCCCGCGACGGCGCAAGTTCCGGCCGTGAGCGCGGCGACGGGGTATCCTGGGTATGGCTACACTGCGGCCGCAGCGGGCTACCAATACGCGAACGCAATGGCGTACCAACGTCCTCCCGTTCCACCACCACAAGCTGCGCAATACCAACAGTACCAGCAATATCTCTCCTACCCCCAGGCCGCGTACGCGGGCGCACAAACTGCGTTTCAGCCGTACAGTCCGGATTTCTTTACGCCGAGTCCGGCTGTTGCTGCGCAACAAGCTGTACACACGCCCGCTCCTGGTTCATTCGGGACACCGACTCCAGCGACACGGGTTTCGGCACAGCCGACCCGTCAGAGTAAGCGTGTCCGTATCGATCCCTCTCATCTCCGCGAAGAATTGACGGGCGACGATGAGGATGAGGACGAGGACGACCTCACCCCCCTCCCCAAACACGAAACAATCCCAGCCCAACCCGCACCTCCGATCCAGCTTGCCCCCGGTGTGCGATTCGTGATGGGCACCCACCCATCCGCACTCACCGGCCGTCCCAAATCCTGTATTCCAAATATCTTTGCAAAAGACTGGGCCCGCGAATGTGTCGAAGCCGCCATTAACTCCCGTCTCCCACCCTACGCACTCTCCAAGGACGAATACAACACCTTCAAAGGCGCGATCAATCATGTCCAAGTCACGAATTATCTCAATATTAGGAATGCGGTGTTGTGGCTCTGGTTAAGGAATCCCCTTTGTCCGGTGAGTAGGGAGGAGGCGTTTGGGGTTTGTAGGGATGATCGGTTCGTGCCGTTGGCGGAGAAGATTTTCGAGTATCTCGTCAGAGGGGGTTATATCAATAACGGAGTCATTCCAATTCCTAGCCCGCTGGAGGTTTTGGGACAGGTGCAGCCGGAGCGATCCAAGTCAGGAAAGGTCGTCGTTGTGGTGGGAAGTGGGATTGCGGGACTCAGTGCTGCACGGCAATTGGAGGGTTTGTTCAAGCATTTCGCGAACAAGTTCCCGGAGGACGAGGAATTACCCAAAGTCATGGTCGTCGAAGCTCGGTCCCGGATCGGAGGGCGGGTGTATTCGCGTCCGATCAAGGCTGATACGCGGGAGCAGCTTGATTTGGGTGAGGGAAGGGAGAGTACGGCGGAGATGGGTGCGATGATCGTTACGGGTTTTGACTATGGTAACCCGTTGGGTGTTCTCATCAAGAAACAGCTCGCGTTGCCGTATCACCACCTCAGGGAAACGGACTTACATGATGAGACTGGGCAGAAGGTCGATAAAGAGCGGGATGTACGGGTTGAGAGGATGTTTAACGATGTCCTTGATCGCGCGGCGGGATTCAAGGAGCCGAGGGTGCAACCGAAGTTGGTGGAGGGGAATAAGTGGGATCTGGATTTAGGGCGGGATCCATCTTCTGAGGGTGGTAAGACGATTGCGGAGGTGGAGAAGGGGGAGGCGGAGATTCCGCCTATGAGTGCTGGTGTGGAGACGGGTATTTCGACGCCGTCGAATGAGAGTGTTTTTGGGGCGGGGTTGGAGAGGATGACCGGGCGCCCGTGGCACGCGACCGGGACGGCGGGAAAGATTCCGCCTATTGAGGCGTTGAGGAGGATTGGATTCGAGGTTGAGGAGAGGGATGTTGAAACCTTCCAGCCTCGTCCTGCGGATGAACCGACGCTTGGGGATACCATGGACGCTATCCTCCTCGAGTTCAAGGAGCTCGCGAAGCTCACGCCGGAAGACATGCGGATGGTCAACTGGCATTACGCGAATTTGGAGTATGCTAATGCCGCTAACCTCCGGAAACTGAGTTTGAAGCATTGGGATCAGGATGATGGGAATGAGTTCCGCGGGGCGCATTCGATGGTTGTCGGGGGGTACGGGCAACTCGCGCGGGCTTTGGCGTTGGCGCCGGAGAAGTTGGACATTAAGTTGAGGAAGAGCGTACAGACTGTCGTCTATTCGGACGCGCAGACCATGATTAATGGAACGATGTATCAGCAGCCCCCCGTGAGGGTGATTTGTCATGATGGAGATGTGATTGGGGCTGATGCGGTTATTGTTACCCTTCCGTTGGGGGTGTTGAAGAGTGGGGATGTTGCGTTTGAGCCGGCGTTGCCGGAGTGGAAGATGGGTGCGATCTCGAGGCTTGGTTTTGGGTTGTTGAATAAGGTCGTGCTTGTTTATGATGAGTGTTTCTGGGATCGGGAGGCGGATATGGTTGGGGTGTTGAGGGAGCCGGAGAATGGGAAGGATCCGATGAATCAGGAGAGCTATGTGGATGTTAGGGGACGGTTCTACATGTTTTGGAATTGTTATAGGACTGCTGGGAAACCCGTGTTGGTTGCGCTCATGGCGGGCAATGCGGCGGAGGCGGTGGAGAAGGAGGATGATGATGTACTCATCGAGGAAGCGACGACGGTGTTGAAGAAGATGCACCCGGGGAAACATGTGCTGCAGCCGCGTGAGTCGATTGTTACTAGATGGAAGAAGGATCCGTATGCGAAGGGGTCATATTCCTACGTGGGCCCCAAGGCTACGGGTGAGGATTATGATCTTTTGCAGAAGGATGTCGATGGAAGGGTGTACTTTGCTGGTGAGGCTACGTGCCGGACGCATCCCGCCACCGTCCACGGAGCCTACCTTTCTGGTCTTAAAGCCGCAAAGGAGGTTTTGGAGCACTTTATTGGTCCGATTAACGTGCCGACTGATAAGCATATCGTTGTGCCTACTGAGATCGCGACTGCGATGGCGAAGGTCAAGGTCGAGAGTAGGAGGACGCAGTACAAGGAGAGCTGGACGCAGAAGGCGAAGAGGCTTAAGCGTGAAAGGGTGCAGGCTGCCGAGGAGGCTTGTGAAGCTGCCTTGGTCGAGAAGTTGGGCGAGAAGCCGATGAAGGCGAAGAGACGGCCCGCGAACCCTTTCTTGGTTTTCCAGAAGGAGAGCTGGAGTAGGATCAAGGCCGAGGCTGATAGAATTCATCAGGAGCGCACTGGGAACCCGAATGCGAAGGCTAGTAGGGATGAGATTCGTGCGTTGTTGGGGAAGGCTTGGAGGGATATGAGTCTGGATGAGCAGAAGCCCTACCGCGAGTTTACGGAGTCGAATAAGGCTGCGAACAGTGGTAGCGTTGCTGATTTCAACAATCAGTTGTTGGAATGGGAGCGTCAGGCTGAGACTTTTAGTAAGACGTTCATGGATGCTGCGTTGGCTGAGCCGCCGAGTGTGGAGGAGGCAGAGGCGAATAGGATGGCTGCGGAGGAGAAGGCGGAGAGGATGAGGTTGATGGAGGAGAGGAAGAGGTATGCGCACTTGTACGGGCCTCAGAGTGATGATGAGGATTACGAGGATGAAGAGTAGGAAAACCGGGTTACGGATAGGTGTAAGATTTAAATTGATTCCCATTTACACCTTCTTATTCCACAACAGTCCCAATGCTACTTACGCTGGGCGACGCAAGCGCTGTGCTGTGCGTGCCTGGCCATAACTGGAAGAAAAGTCGCCGCTCGGATTGCACCGGTTTGCTTTCACCGGCTCTCGACAAGGGCTTCTCCTACAGCCTTTCGATTGAGCATCCGTTGCAGCAGCCTGCAATTGCAAAAGAAGATCATTTGGATTGGGCTGTCACTGTCCCTGTTACGTGCTGTATCGCACTCCGAGCTCCTGTCCCAATCGTCACGCACCTGTTGCCGGCAAAGCCTTCTTCCGCGATCGCCTTCCCTTGCATACCTAGCCTACCTATACCCTGAGCGTTTGACCGTTTCTTGAACATTGCATTTGTTGTTCTTCGATGGTATCCATCATTCCACGTACCGAGTCTTCATCATCTACAACTCCAAACCTGGAACTCCCAAACAGCAATGGCGGCACTTCAGCCAGCAAGACGGCGCCAGCCGAGACCGAGACGGATGCCAAACTCTCCCAAACTATGTTCTTGGCTTTTGTTAGCAATGCCTTGGATGCGCGTTTGAAGGTTTGTCACCCTTTGTCGTTCTGCTTCTGGTGTCTGATTGTTGGAGTGGTGCGCTGACTGTTTTTTGTGAACAGGGAGATTATTCGCCGTTTGAGGATTTGCAGCGGTTGTTTACGGTTAAGCCGACTGCGCCTGATGCTCCCTCTAGTTCTCAGCTTCGACAGATCTTGGGAGCTTTGACTAATCACGTCTCGAGGTTGGACTCGTCGGCGAGTATCCTTGTCAGGGCGATTATCGGATGCCACTGGGCTGGAAGGGATGATCTGTTTGTGGGAGCATACGTGAGGTTTCTGGGGAATCTTGTTTCGGCACATGCTGGATACATTCCGCTGGTTACCCACATGCTGGTCCAGCACCTTTCATTGGGTACGTCATTTGGGTCAGCTATGATCTTGAGCACGACTGATCCTGTTCGCAGTACCCATTTCCCTCGGCCGTCTTCCTAACCATGACCCAGTACCTCGCTCGCTCATCCATGACCGCGCCCACTTCGCCCTCCAATATATCCTCGAGCTTGTCCCGACAGCGACCCCATCCCTCATGCCAGTCCTCTCTGCCGAATTCCCTCACAAGTCCGAAAACAAACTTGCTCAGGTCACCTACGTCACCAACCTCCTCCGCGTCCTGCAATATGCCCCCGTCCTTCGTGGCCAAGTCATGAACCTCCTCATCGACAAAATCATCCAGATTGATGTCGAGATCCAGGTGAACTTGGACGAGTTAGACGAAGAGCACGAAATCCTAGAAGAAGACGTACCAAATGGCATCAGTGACGCGAATTTTATGGCTACGGCTAAGGAGGGTCCACATGCGCAGCTCTTGGCGGAGATTGCGGAGGCTGATGCGGCTGATTTGGATGAGGATGATGATGAGGATCTGGAGATGAGCGTGCAGAACATCAAGGATATGGTCGACAAGCTCGATTGTATGTTGATGGTGATGTTTGATTACCTCACTCCGACCTTCCTCAGCGAACCAGCGCTACTCACCCCCGGGGGTATCATGAACTCTGACGCTTTCTCGGATATCTCTTTTGAGTACCTTCTCCAAGCATTTGACACGACGATTTTGTCGACGTTTAGGTCGAGGTATACGCAGTTTATCATCTTTTGGGCAAGTCAGACGAGTCCGAGGTTTATCGATGCGTTCCTCGGTGTCGCGATCGAGCGTGCACTCGATCCCTCCCGACCCCAAATTGCGAGACAAGCTGCGTCAGCATACGTCGCCTCCTTTGTCGCTCGTGCCAAGAAACTCGATCGCCCCGCCGTTCGAACCGTCGTCGGGATGTTGTGTACCTGGCTACACACCTATATCGAGGACAGGGAGGAGGAATGCGTCGGTGCTGATGTTGGGAAGTTTGGAGGTTTTTACGCGGTTGTGCAGGCGGTGTTTTACATCTTTTGCTTCAGATGGCGGGAGTTGAAGGGGGATGATGAGGAGAATGAGGATGTGATGGAGGGTGAGGATGGGGAGACAGATAAGTGGGCTCCTGGGCTCGAGGTGCTTAATCGGGCTATTCTGTCCAGATTCAACCCCCTCAAGGTGTGCTCGCCTGTCGTCGTTTCCCAGTTCGCGAGGGTTGCGAATCATCTTGGGTTGCTGTACGCCTACTCCGTTATGGAACAAAACCGAAGATTGGGCGGTGCGGGGAATTACATGAATGCGAATCTGAATAAGGAGGTGGAGAGTTATTTCCCGTTCGATCCGTATCGGTTGAAGAGGAGTCAGGGGTACGTTAAGGATATGTATGTCGAGTGGCAGAATATCCCGGGGCTGGATGATGAAGAGGACAGCGAGGAGGAGGACGAAGACGAAGACGAAGACGAGGAGAGTGAGGAGGAGTATGATGAGGATATGGATGAGAGCATGATGGACTGATTTGTCCCCTAAAAAATGAGTCGGGTGTGGTGTGTGGAGTGAGGTCTTTTTGCACATGCTTTTTTGGTTGGGTATCGGTTATCGTTTTGGCGATTGGAGTTCTTTTGTTTGTTACCTATATCAGGCTTTTTGGCTATCTCGTATCAAGATATCATGATTGATCCTATACCAGTACCGACGTCCAGCAGCCAGCTCCGGATCACGTCGTCGCGAGGCAGTATCGATCGGCAACGAACGATTCTACATTTGCATAATTACGTAATTGATATCACGGTTGCAGCCGCGGAGATGGAGCTCTCGGTCGGATGGCATGACCCACGTCGCGTACAGAAACGGATTGCACGATCGTGATATTGATGGATTCACCCGGCTTATCCGGGTCGCAATCCTGATTATTGTCGGACCACATGCTTTCAAATCCGGAAGCAGGCGTCTCTGGTACCATGTTACCCAAATTGCAGACTCACGATAAGTCGACGTATGAATTCGAAAATTAAGAGCCGGTGACACAAGCGGACCGATTGCATTGCAATTGAGAGGAGAGGGAAAAAAACCAGTCGTTGAACTTTCGAAGGTTGTGTGTAGGCGTTAGTGACCGTCCGGCCATGGTTCTCACTGGCATGACTGGGTATCTCATTAAAGCTGTCTAAGCGTGGGCTGCGGCACACCTCACGAGTTCGCTCTCGGCTCGAATTCCCTGCAGACCCATTTTGATCGTTCGTTACCGACTTCTGGGGCTAATGGCATAAGTGAATTTCCGGAATTGCCTGGAAAATGCCGTGCTAATCATACCGGGGTTTACGTCACCGTCTCATGGGGGGGTCATCGGGGTACGGCCCGAGGAGATCGGAGGCGGGGAGGGAGGTAACACTTCTACCAGGAATTAGGCAATGGACCGTCGGAGGAACTGGAGGGGCTCTGATCTTGGGGTTGTTGAGGGTGATTGTAATTGCAATCCCGGCCGTAATCTGGGCATTTGCTGGGTGAGACGATGTGTCACGTCACTCACGCGCAACGGCCGGTTCGCTCGCAAACACCTCGAGATTGCATACATCTCCACTCGAAAGGGTCGAAAGACCTGTCTTGGAACTCTGAAAATGCGTGAAGTCTCAGAAAGCTTAATCAGTTTAACTTGCCTAAGCTCAATTGCAATTGGCTGATCAGGAGGGCACACGGTTCTTTCCGCGGGGGGGGTTCCTTCCAAGACGCCCGGATCGTGAACTTTCATCACGGCTTCTGCCGAACCCGACCGACGTCGAACGTGTTTCATTAAGATTACGGTTGACAAACTCGGGCATAGAAGGAGGCAGCAAGGGAGTCATCCAAGCAGCCTTTTTGACCGCCCCGCTCTTTTTATTTCGGTTTACAATATCACATCACATCACTCTAGGCTGAATCCTTGCAAATTGTCTGGCTTGGGGCTTTGGGGACGTCATTCAACAGATCGGATCTCGCCGTGTCGACTATAAGGTTCGATTGGCCCCTCAAAATCAGATGTGGTAGGACCAAACATGTCCGTTGCTGCCATAAGAATGGGTCCCGCCTTCTCTCACATACCCGCCGAGTCGACTGAGAGGTCTCGGGCCAATGACCCCAATACATCGCTCGTTCCATCTCTTTTCGATTTGTCTGGCTCCGGTATGGATCAGAACCGCACTTCGGTCGTCTGAGCTAACGTGTCTGGAACAGCTAGACGTGCTCCTTACCCTTCAACACATACCCCAGATACCCAGCTCAGACCCGATCAAAGTACATCCTCTTCCTGATCCATCATCACATCATCGGCTAATATCTCCTCCAACAGTTCTAAAACGTAACAAAAGCATCGTCCACCAGTATCTCGAATGGTGGAACTCCCAAGACGACAACGACGACGTCCTCCTCGATGTCATCCACCCGTCCCACCACTTCCACCACGCCAACTTCTCTGAGGTCGAGGCCGGCATCGGCCCAAACTATGTCAAACACATCCGAGATTACTACCACTCCCACTACCAGGAAGCCCGAATAACATCAACCTCAACCCTCGCCGAGAACGATCTCGTGATGGTGATATCAGCATTAAAAGGAACCCAACACTCAACAGCCGAAGACGGACGCTCGATCGAACGACAAATTACCTTACGACTCGCGCACCGGTATCGACTCCGGGATGGGTTCATTATCGAGAGTGAATTTTTGGCGGATTGGTTCGAGTTCTTCAAGACGCCGTGGGTGAAGACGGGGATGGGATCGGATTTACCGAGTACGCTGACAAATGTTGGAGAGGATGCGAAGCTTTATGCGACGATTTGGCCGGCGGCGGGGACGGTGAGAAATGAGGAGGTGGAGTTTACGCCGCCGAGGGCGGAGGAGAGTGAGAGTGAGAGTGAGAGTGAGAAAGAGGGGCAGAAGACGCCGACGCCTGAAAGAAATGGTGGTGAAGGAGTAGGAGGAAGAGATGGCGCGCAGCCGACGAGGAAAAGTATCAGTTTGCAGGATATCATCTGGACAACTTGAAATGATGAGCGATAGTGTGTTGTGCGCATGTGGTTAGGACGGAGTGATTATGTTTCTGGGGTACGGTTCATGGATACACGATCATGGGAGCCTGTGTGAAGTTGTTTGAGTTAGACTCTGGGGGTTTCGTGTCATCGTCAGGTGCTCGGCGATGGCCAATGTAATAGACATTTGTACCCTTTGAACTGTGGTGAGTGGTTATTGGCTGTTAACATGTCAAGCGGTGCCGGGGATCCGTACAGGCCCCGTTCGTCAAGATGCTCCCGACCACCGACACCGTGCGAAACAAGGTCCACTCCCTCCGCTTCACCTTCCGCGTCCCACCCTTTGAATCGCATGTAGAAACGGGTTGACGCAGAAGGCGTACAACACCATGCGATGAAGTGTCGAAGATTCATTTTCGTAGCTGTTGCGGCACCATTTTAACCTGTCATCGACCGTGCGCTCGCCACCCGGACGTCACCGGCTGAGCAGGGGCCTTTGACATGCTCGAACTCGGTGACGGCGGGCTGTACGTCGACTAAGGCGAGTTCCAGCGGATCCGTTCAGCAAAACGATGAAATTTCGAAGTTTCGAAGTGTCGCGAGTTACGTGCGGGTTGGTTGGTTGATGTGATTGTAGTAGGCGAACTTGTTGAGACTTCTCTGTGCAAATGTTAGCGTGAGCGCGTCCGACTAGCGTGAACGATACCAATCCGGTTTGCCTCGACACTGCCTCGACACTGCCGCCGCGAACAATCCGGTGACCGGAGTAGCCAGATGGCCGCGTCGATGCTAGGAGATGCTGCTGATCGAGTTGAAAACTCCTTCAGCAGTTCTTTGACATCCCCTACGACATGCTAGTCAGAACCCCGGTCTCCTCGACGTGACCGTGCCACGGTGGTTGGCACGGAGGAGAGTTGGACGAGGAGGACTGGGATGGGTATAGAAAAAATCACCCACGCTAACAGTTTGGCCCAGGCTAATGCTCTCACGCCTAATCCGGTCAGCTGCCCGGACGCGACCAAGGCTGCACTGCTTAGGAAGTGGGAAGTAAGTCTTGCTTTCGAGGCCATGTACAGAATCTTTTATAAGTTCTATTGATTGGAATGGTTTAAGTCTTTTGAAATCGTTCGAGCAGTGGGTACCATGCGAACCACCATGGACGAACCATGTTAATGAATCACGTCTTGCCTTTGATAATGGGAGATGCGCCAGCGTCATTAGGGATTGAAGTGTATGAGATTCATCCCATCACACTGCAGCTGACAGGGTTTAAGGGAGGAATGTGCTATGTGACATTCAGATGTCACGGTCCGCGGGCACGCATCCACGTCGATGCTCTCACTCTTAACGCGTTATAAGGTTGTTGCATAAATTCCATTGCTAGTTCGGTTGCTGCGTTGCACCAGCAAAGCCCTGTGTGTATGTCCGAGAAGCGGTAGTGAAGTTGAGCCGTAAAACTGGAGAAGCAGCTCAGCATAGTGTGTATGTTTTGTTCCCACGACATATGGGGCACCCAGTCTTCAGATGCACGGAGAGGTCCCTGTGACTTGGTGAAAACGGACAGCGGATGAGAAAGTGCGACGACTTCCCGTGACACGGTTGTGGAAGAGACGAGCGATGAAGTATGTGCAGCATATCACTGTAAACCGTGGGAGGAGGTTGTGAAAAACTGGTCAGGACAATGCGGAAACAATCAAGGAGTGCGCCGGATGATCAGTATGTAAAAGAGGTTTGAAAGAGTGAAAGAGCAAGAGGAGCAGGTTCGAGAGGTCACTGCCTTCCCTTTAGACTTCTTTGCGGATATCTTACGTCGAAGAACAGGAATCCGAGGACAGCGGAAGAACCAGATTACCTTTTTGCGTCCAGCTTGTCCGCTGCATGAGTACAGTACTGCTGTGTGCAAAATTCTTGACGCGGCGCATTTTACCGCCTATCTGCGCGGGGATAGTTTCATGAACCCCCCCATCTTCATAGACAAGGCTTGGGAGGGCGGTTTCAGGGTAGAGGTCGATAGATCAGACTCTTAGGAATCGATAGATGTCCTCGAAACGCGTGTAGTACCGGTTCTCATAGAGTTGTGACATTATGAAGGATTTCGGCCCAGGTGCATGATGTTGCATGAATATGCATGAAAACATCGAAAACACTCTTTGGACCCACAAACCTCAAAAACTGGTAGAATCAAAGAAACCACACGCAGAACATGTTCATCCAAGCTCCCTCTATCTCATGGGACCCAGAGCTGCATCCGTAGTGCCTTCCAGGGTCCGTATCTTTCTTTTCACTGAAAACACCTTTTCAGCATGAAGCAACTGAGGGAGGCCTTGTGGCCCAAAACCGGTGGCACGACGTGATTGCTAACGATAGGTATGATCAGTTTGAACCCTTACTCGACCTCCGAGGCCTTTATCTATGTTGTTTTAGGGGTTTTTGTCATATGGAGTTTGCGATTCGCGCGCACATGGGAAAGTCACGTCAAGAATTTTGCACACAGCAGTAGCTCCGGCTACCGGCGTGGGGGCGCGCCAGAAGCCCGCTGCGGCATCGTCAATCAGCTGTTATGGTCCGCGAGCTCTGTCAGTTCTGCAACGATCGCCTCAGCTGCAGAAGCATCGGCAAGCATCGGCAGGAAAAAGTATGGAATGGGAAAGCTGGGGCGGGATGGGAGAACCCCGGATCGGCCGTATTCACGAAGGAGATGTTCGGTGGACTCGGGCATTCGCACACGTCGCCGTCTCAAGATCCAGCATCCTGGTACGACCTCGACAGCTGGTTTGGGACCGAGCTTTGTCCATGACAAATCCTTGACCTTGTTGTTTTGCCGAGTTTCGCTCTAGACTTCCTGGACCGCATTGAGTTTGGCGCACGGACCACCACGCGCGCACAGACCAGTCTCGAGGCAAATTCACGACCGTTGCACGCGAGAACGAAAGGAACGATTCCCAGATCCGGGAATACTGGAACAAACTGAACGCCGAATGGCTGAGAGGCGTCTGGCGCTGGACAGTTCCATCGAGGTGAATCTGAATCCTCGGAAGGCGAGTAGTGATGGTGGAGGGGTATAAGATGCTGTTCTGATCCCGCTCTTTTCTGCTTATCTGTTCTTTCTTCAGGCGACTTTGATTAACGGCAGTTCGTGATCCCATATACCAAGATGTTCTACTCGACGATCCTTTCTGCTGGAGCCTTGTTGCTCGCTGCCTCGGCTTCTGCTGCCCCTGCGAACACTGCGCTCAATAACGCTTCCTCCGTCGCCGAGGTTACTGTTACCCCGACTGTCCTTACTACTTTGACGACCACCGTCTACCCCGAGACCTCTACCGAGACCGTCTACACTGTCAACCCAGCGTTGGTTGGCAAACACTCCACCATCGTGGTTTCTGCGACCTCGACCGCCTACACCACCACTACTCCCGTCATCACCTCGACAATTACCTCCTCTGCTGTCCGTACTTCCGTGACTAAGAAGGCCAAGACCTTCACCAAGGTGATCACTCCCACCAGGGACGTTACCGAGTACTGGACCAAGTACTTCACAAAGTGGAACTACTACACCCCCGCTCCCAAGAAGTCTTACAAGACTGTCATCTCCACCTACACCCCCACCACCTCCGCAACCACCACCAGCACTTTGTCCTTGTCGACTACCACCTCCACCACCACCGCTACCTCTACTACCACCTCCACCACTACTCAGGCATGCTCCACCACCACCACGACCGCACGTCAGCGTGGACGCCGTGATGTCACTGTTGGGCCCGTGACTTCCACCATCACCGAGACCGAGACTGAGGTTGCCACCACTACTACCACCATTGCCAACCTCACTCCTTCCGACTACTTCACCACCGCCACTACTACCTCCACTACCACCCTTCCCGTTACCGCTACACCTTCTACCATCTCTGTCACCGTCACCGTGACCAAGAGCACTAGATGGTCTACCTCCTACACCAAGACTGTCACTGGTACCACCTATGCCCCCACCTTCACCAACATTCACTCCATCACCGCCACAGCGACTACCAACGCTGCCTCTACCCTTGCTACCCCCACCACTACCGTCACCTACACCGCTACCGTTAAGGCTAAGAAGGCTGCGACCAAGTGGTCTACCAAGACTGTGACTCTTGGAAAGAAGGGAACTGCTACCAAGACCGTTGTTGTGTTTGTTAAGGCTACTGCTACCGCCAAGCCTTTGAACTGCAAGAAGTGGTAATACGAGAGGATTTGGATATGTAAAACCGGGATATACCATAGCGATGACTTCTTAACTACAATACTTAAAGGCCGAGTACACTTAATGAAAATCTTGATACACGGTATTGTTCCCGTTCCAATAATGTCTCGACATCAATCGCAGCTAATAGTATCGCAATGGGCCGGGTGTCAGAAAAGCTCAGGATGCCTGCTCGATATGTCACTCCTATCTGTGTTCGCATCGTCCAATCTCGAAGCGGTCCTGGTCACAGACATCCCGACACTGTAGTATCGATGTCGAAGACCACGTATGTGTTATGACCGAGGCAATTGAGCAGCAACATCCGCTCGTGGAACACCAGAAAACGTCAGTCTATTCATCTGCATTTGCCTACTCGTATCAATCTATCGTGCACACATCTATATCTTACAAAGTAGCAACCTTCTCGTCAAACAACTTCTCTGCATCCTGCCAAACTCTTGCATTCTTCCTATCCTTCAACTGCAACAAACTTGGCAAAAGCGCAGACGAGAATGCCTCCGAAGACTCCCTAGGCAAGAGGGTAGGCAAGTGGTCGATGGAAATGACGGTACAGTGAGGACCGGTTTGGACGTCAACGGGAACAGTGGGCTTGTCGAAGGTGGTGTTGATGGAGTAGACGGGGATGGGGTTGTGGGGGTTTGTGGTATCGCAGGAGACATCGCAGATGACCTGGAGCTTGCGGTCCTTGGTCTCCATGAACCCGGGCGAGATGAAAGGGGGGATAGGCTGAGAGAGGTAGATGCAGTTGACAAAAATGTCAGCGTCAATGATCTCCTGGAAAGGACCACCTTTAGCGGTCTCGGCCATATCCCACTTGATGATGTTCTCCTCTGGGATACCAGCTTTACGGGCCATGTCGACTGCACCAGATCCACAACGTCCAAGAGCACCAATGACGAGGATACGGGGGTACTCTCCACCATTCTTCTTGACACCCTCCGCAACGACATCCTTGATGTGAGAAATCAACTCGCCCTCATTGGGGTAAGGAGTAACAGCCGGCAAAGGCTTCTCTGGACTGTGAGTCTGCTGCCAAGCCCAGGACTCAATCGCCAATGCCGCACCTGCGAAACCGGCATGGAATCCAAATGCAGCAACACGACGGCCACTCTCATCCTGCAAGAACTCAAGATCAAGCAAAACACCTCCACCACGCGGCCACCTCGCCAAAACATCCTTCCACCCACCCTGCTGCTTATAGCAATGCGCAAACATGATGTGGTCGTGAGGAAGTGGGGTATCGTCATTCTCAGGCAACTCCTTCAAAGCAATGATGTACGCGTCCTTGGGGGCATTTCTCCAGGATCCTTCCTCAACAAGGGGGGCGCCAATCTTCTCGAATTCAGCGTCGTCGAAGATGCGGAGGGTGGAGCGCTCAATGGTGATCTTGAAGCCGGCGTCCATGAGGGCCTTGGCGGTAGTGGGGGTGAGCGCAGAGCGGTGCTCCATGGGTTTGGATTCGGCACGGAGCCAGAGGTGAGGAGCAGACATGATTGTAATGGTTATTGGTTGCTTGTGGATCTGTGTAGGAGCTCGAGGAATCTTATGTCGCGGTACGTATACGCCTCTGTTACCTTAGATGGCCTCATAGCCGTAAGACAAAAAAATACATTGGGATCTTATTACAATATCTAATATCCATTTCTGAATATGCATAAGCAAACTATCACGGTTTCATGCCCCGACTGCAATATTGATTCTGCCGAATGAACGTTGACGACTGAGCTGACGTCCGTTTCGCGAGCCGTCACGACCATTGAACTCAGCTTACGCCGCCGAGCATTTTGCGGCGTCTCACAGCATACTTCGCCATTATCGAAGTAATACGCATCGTTCTTTGAGTTTGTTCCAGTCTTCAGCGCGAGTTTTGTAGTCCCTTCCTGTTCCAACTCGCTCGGATCACTACGCAACACCAAGACGCGTCTGCCCAAACACCAGCGCGTAAACCAACTGCAAGCTCTACAGCGCACCGTGCGAATCGACGAAACCAGGTCGTTCAATCAATCAATTCGGCCGCGACTACTCTCAGAATGAGCAAGCGAAACGCAGCGTCGCCCGATCTCGACGAGCCACGAAAGCGACAGCGATCAGCCCCCGCCAAGGGAGGTGCATCCGACGTGCTGAAGGATTGTCGCGCTCTTATCCAAGCAGTCATTGATGCGACTGACGAAGCGGGCGAACTCATCTCTGCGCCTTTCTTGAAGCTGGTCCCGAAAAAGGCATACCCGGATTACTACAAGATCATCACGCAGCCAATCGCAATCGACCAGATTCAGCGTAAGGTGAAGAATGGAGAGTACACTCGATTATCTGACTGCAAGAAGGACTTCTTGTTGATGGTCAGTAATGCAAAGACGTACAACTCGCCCGAGTCGCAATTATACGAGGATGCGATCACTATATCGAAGGTCGTGAAGGGATTCAAGGGAGAGGCTCCAGCCGATGATGACGAGGAAGACGATGTCGAGTTGGAACTGACTGATGAGGAGGATGTTCTGCCTGCGTATGGGTCGAAGACGGATATGGAGAAATCCGTCCTCGATGCTGCGCGTGAACTGATCCACGAGATCACACACATCAAGAATACCAAATCGATCCCGTATTCAGTTTCCTTCATGAGTCTGCCTGATAAGCGAGAGTACGCCGACTACTACCAGAAGATCAAAGAGCCAATGTCCTTCAACATGATCCTGAAGAAGATGCGATCACCCGGTTACGAATCGCTAGGTGATTTGGATAAGGAGGTCGAACTCATCTTTTCAAATGCCTTTTCGTATAATGAAGAAGGAAGCCCCATCTGGAAGGACGCCAAGGCTATGCAGAAGAGCTGGAGGAAGAAGATCGAGAAGCGACGGATTGAATTAGGAGAGATACAACCGCCTCCGCCGCCGACACCAGCTGTTGAGGCACCCAAGTTGAAACTCACGCTGGGCAACAACTCTGCAACGCCTGCACCCCCAAGCGCTTTACCGCCACGGATCAAATTCAATATTGGAACAGGCGGTACACCCGTACCCGCCCCAGCTGAGACCAAGGAGGAGCAGATTGATGTCGTGAGCGCTGCTGCTCCGGCTGCACCACCGGCACCACCTAAACCTGCGCCGTACGTTCCCGCTCCAGACCCATGGCTCCGCGATCCCAAGCTCCCGGCACTTATACCCCTCCTCAACATCTCCGGTCCATCCGTCGCACTTCGAATCCCACCTAGCCCGCTCAGCAGATTACAGATGTACACCATCACCGTGCCTGCTGCAACTACAACTCTTTCCGTCTCGCCCATACTTAATACGACTCTACCTCCGATCAGGGCTGGCCAGTTTTCGTTGAGTGTTGTGTGTAATGGACGACGCGTTAATCCTAGTCCTGAAGCGGGTGCGGGTGGGGGATTTCCAGTTAGTTTAGCAGGCGTAGCGACTAGCAGAGTTGAGTGTGAGATTGCGATTGCACCATCGCCGGGACAGGATGCTGGGTTGGAGGGGAGGGAGAGGGTTGTAGTGCTGGTCGTGAGGAGGGGATAAGGGAGGAAGAATGGAACAACAACGAGTGTTGTAAAGCGCAAAGGAACGAGGGCGTGCAGACTTCAAGGGCGGTAAATCTTGAATGGAGTTACGAACACCTATACCCTACCCAATTGCCGGCGCCGGAGTCTGTCACTGAGGGTGGTGTGATGGCCATCAAATAAAGGGCGAGCTCACCGATAACAAACCGTTCTTTTCGCAGTTATCTTTTAATGTAATTGAAATGTTTACGACCTATTTATGTACCGTGTCCAGATCGACATGCACTCCTCCAAATTCCTCGGGGACCTGCCCTGAAGGTCATCAACACAGGAGTACGAACTTTCTACGACCATCAAAACACTCAATCAACAACCCTCCGATACCAGCTGTTATACGCTCCTTTACCGACTCTAAGCTACACGTCGTCGCTAAATCACTCGGCTTTCTCTGTCACGTCCACATCCGAATCTCCCGTTCGATACCGACATTCTACACGTCACATACACTATGGCTTCCCGCATCGCATCCTCAAGACGTCCACGCTACCTCACCGAGTCCGAACGTGACCGCCTCGAAGAGTTCATCAATGACATCCACTACTCTGCGAGATATTCCGATGACCACTACGAGTACCGACACGTCATGTTGCCAAAGGCCATGTTGAAGGCAATTCCGAAGGACTACTTTGACCCTGATACGGGGTGTTTGAAGATTCTGCACGAAGAGGAGTGGAGAGGACTTGGTATTACCCAGGTATGTTTCGGGCAAAGCAATGAGATCGCGGGACGGATCTTAAATGGATTAGAACCTGCCGGATCATTGATCTTTGCGTCCTCTTAAATGCGCGACTGGATGTATGCTAACATCCGTATAGTCTTTGGGATGGCAACACTACGAGACTCACGTCCCAGAGCCACACATTTTGCTGTTCAAGCGGGAGAAGGACTTCGGACAGTGAGCAACGCGAAGGATGGGAAGTGGACTGCGAGTGAAGCAAGAGTACGATACAAGATACGAAAAAGACACGCATCAGCAGAATGCACGAAAGCAAGGCATACCAGGACTGGGGACAGTTGGCATTATATCAGGTGCGCTGGCCATGAAGCGGACGGAATACACGCATATCGAACGTTCACATTGATCATGACCTCCTCTTCCTGTAAACCTCGTGAAAAGTAGAGCATACATCCCGTTTCCATAATGACGCAGGATCAGATAATATAATGTCCCTAATTGCCCTTTTCAGCCAAAATGCATTACGGTACGGTACGGCTGATCTGTGCGTGCATAAACCCACGCGTACGTTCGAACCGCAGAACCGGGACCGTTCATTCAGCACGTCGCTTCCACGGGTTCACTATACATTACAATGGCATCACCACTACCTCTCAAACCGCTCTGTACAGGATTGACCGCGTCCTTCTTGCTCAACCTCCCCTTTGGCCACATTCGTTCGCATTACACCGACAAGTTCACGGTTCCGTGGTTTCTGGCGATCCATGCACCCGTACCACTTGTTGTTATGATTAGGAAGAAGCTCATGAGTGAAGTCGCGGTCAAGAGGCTTGGGGGCCGCTGGGTTGTGCTTGGGATGAGCTTGGCAGCGGGTGTTGGTGGTCAATTAATCGGAGGGAAGTTTGGGGTGCGGAAGAGTGTGAGGGAAGGGAGAGCTTTGTAATCGCAGGTGCAGTCAAAACCCGCGAGAAGTGTGAATGAGTTGCATATGATCATGAGATGCCAATCACCCGGCTGTATGCGGCAACTACGGCATGTTCGGGGGCATTCATGTCGGAGAACGGCATCCTCGGTGGAGGCACGTCATCGACTACGGGCGAATGATAATCTGGAATAACACGGTAGGGGTTGAGACGCAACTTGGGCATCAGCATCGGCATCTATTACAACAGTTCTGGAACTCTATCCTATCTCTTAACTACCGCTAGTGGCGGAGTGATCCCCTATTCTCAAGCGTGTACATCGGGACACCGAGGTCCTCTGTCTATCAGGCCAGAAGCTCGCCTTACTCCACGTGTTCAGGCTTTATCGCGAGTAGCGATCACCTGGGTGCTCGTGACTGGCCGTACGATTCTGCGCGATACCATTACACGGCCGTCTCGAGGCCATGTTTGGCATTGCGGCGCGAGCAGGCAGTGCATTTCTTCTGCTCAGCCCAGTATCGGGCCGAGCGGAGGTATGAGCATCATTCTCCCTCGCCTCCCCACTCAGAACGTCATCAACACCTCTGAGCACCTCCTCAACGCATCGCTCTCAGAATTCCTCCTTCCACGCGAAAACACCGGATGCAACATCGGCGTATTCGTCCTGGTCCGGTCGCTTTCGAGTCCATCGCACTCTTCCCATTCTGTCGCCATAGTCCAAATTTGATTTTGTTTGCGGTACAGTTGGGGGTAGTGCATGTCGAGTTCGACGTCATTGGCATGAAGGGATGCGTTGGTAGTGGTGGTGGACTTCCACCAGACCGGTTTGTCTTCTCCGCTTGTAGAGCATGACCAGGCTTTGCAGCGTTCGAAATAGTCGCCGTCGAGGGAAGGGCACATCGGGCCGTCGTGAATGAGCGGGATCTCAAGGGAGGGGAAGTAGCTGTCGTCCACCTCTGACGGCGTGTTCGTAGCGAAAGAACTGGTGGCGGGAGTGAGAGGTGGGGTACCAAGGAGACTTACGCCGGAGTCGCGTTTGATCGCCTGGTTGGACGGGCCTTTCGTTTCAGTCGGTGACACAGGCGGTGAGAATGGCATTTGTTGTTGAAGGAGGGTAATGGTGTTCTGCGCTCCCTTCTTGATCATCTTCGCTTGTCAACGTGCTGATGTCAGGAGAATTGATGGACAGGTAACGGTGCAGTCGAAAGACTCGTCGGAGGTATTTTTTCAGGTCGGAGGGTATAACGGTACTGGTGGGCAAACTTAGTCCGTGGACCTCGAGGGAGGCGGCTGCGTCCTTTTTACGCATCACGAGGGTTGTGGAAATGCAGGATGCTGGGGTGTTAGGACCTCCATTTTCATTTTCGGACGCATGATTGCTGTGCCCGGATTATATAAGCGGGGTCGCGTGGTGCCAGGGACGATAGACATGTGTGGCGAAAACATCCAGAACTTTATGCCCTGGGCAACGGAAGTCAATTCGGTCTGGGCGGAAAAAATAAGGTCTGATTGAAATCTGGATTTCTCGCTTGACAGGTGTATGGGTTGATCACGCGAGGGTACGGTGTCATGATTAACGACGGATCCGGTGGTGGGAAGAGGACCCTCCTGATCGTCGACTGCCGTGAGAAGAGAGCATGAAGGTGGCCTCATCAAGCCGGATGTCATTTGAGAGGTATCAGATCAAGGATAAGCTGAGCGGGTGGACCCAGATGGGCTTCGAGCGCTGATCTGAGGCTTGTTACGGTACGATTTTCCGGCGGCGTACGCGACGTCCATGAAGGCGACATTGCACATTCAACAGTGTCACCCAGAGTTTTTTTTTCGGTTCTTGGTCCGTCTATCAATGGTGGAACTTTTCATACCGGCCAGTCAATCCGCTGTCGCCACCCGTCTCTTGTCGCTTGGGAGTTACCGCTTAAGGTCAAGAGGTGGTTGGGTTTGTTTATGCGGAGGATTGGGGTCGCATGATATGTGGAGTGCTAGCTAGGCCTATGGGACCCTGCAGAAGACGGCTCTGGTATAGCGCCACACCTTCGCATAACGACCAGGGTCACGGGATCGTCTTCGTCTGTCCAAAGGGCAAGAGAACGCGTTTCGCTTGACCGCTTAACGGATCAAAGGGTGTCCACGGTCGTTCGGGATCGAAGACGAACAACCATGTTTTGCCATTGACACAGAGGGCGTCTACGTGTTCATTTTCCCAGTTTTCTCATTTACTCCGAAGAGACTCTGATCGCACGTTGTGTAGACAACGTGGATGTTCGATGGTCTTTGATGTTCTGGGTCCGTGCGCTTTCTTTGGCGGAGTTTTTAATTTAGTCGCGGGAAGGCTGGTCCGTGCGCGCGCAAATTTGGCGGTTGGGCGCCGGCGCTTCCAGGCACGGGTCTCGCCAACGACCGCCCCCCGAAAGCTAACGACGAGCTGAGCATAGCCGCTATGCAGAACTTCAGGTCTTTCTCCACATCCGGCTGTTCAACTGGTCAACTGACCGCGTGTGTCATATCAGGCAGAACGGTCATGGCGATCGGCGCTGGAGATGGCTGACACCGGATCCAATTTGACAGATGGATTCGAGAACGTCGGGGATTGATGCATGTCAGCACGAGGATTCCACGAGAGCTCAACGAAACGTTTGATCAGCAATATGCGCATGAGTGTGATGTCGTAAGGTCCATGCGAAGTGGATGACAGATGTCAGGATTACGGAATTCTTGCCGAATGCGTCCAGCTGTTGCGGAGCTCTTCCCTGTCCTCGTCCAGCGCGTACGGATTTGTCGATTCCAGCTTGATCTTCATGCGCCACTTGTTGTCGCCGCCCCAGACCCGCCGTTATACGCCATGGCGTGTCGCATCATCTTCGACTTTGAGTTTGCATTGGGCAAGGCGTACTGTCCAGCGAACTTACCTCACGATCCAGCACAGGTCAGAGTAGTCGCCCGATCTTGTGGCGACATTCGTTCGCTGTTCATGGCGTGTCGAGATGAAACGTTCCTACGCCAAGAGCATAAACCTTCAGGGTGTTTAACTTGCTCATTTCTCTCGTACAAAAGGACCCTGGAGCCCCCCCTCATCTCGGGTTTCAACGACGCCTCGCTGCCGGCACCGAGCACCCTCGACAAGAACGACAAACTTATCAGCAACTCGGCCTCACTATTGCATCAACAACCCCGACACTTATACCCACTTTTCTGCCAACAAATTACTGAAGGATGGACAAGTTCCGCCCTGTGAGGGCTGCCTCCGAACGGTCCTCCGTCAGCTCCTTGCACTCCCTCGGCGAAGACTCCGCTCGTGAGTCCCTCACCGAGTCCCTCTCCGAGTCCATCCCTTCCTTCAACTCCTCGATCGAGACACCTTCCTTGACCGATGGAGGAGCTTCCAGTTCAGCTGCATCTTTCACCTCTTCCGAGATCGTCTCCGACAACTCACCAAAGTCGATCAAGCACTTCAACAAGGAGCACCGCTCCACTTCCTCTCAGTCTTCCGACGAGTCTTATATTCCTTCTACCTCCGCTGGCTCGGAGCACCTTACCCGCTCGGATCATTTGAAGCTTCCCGAGGTCGATGTCGATGATGAAGAGATCCTTCAGCCTACCGAGGACAAGGAATACGCTCAGCCTCCTCCTAAGCAGAGGACGGCTGCCGATGACATGCTCGCGGCCCGGCAGAACATGTCTGTACCGCGCAAGGTTTGGTGGTACACATGGGCTTCCTTCAAGGTCTTTTGTCCTCTCGGTATTGTCGTTGCTCTTTTCGTCGGTTACGGTTTCAAGATTAAGTTCTGGCACTTGGGACCTTTCGCTATTGGTCTCTACGGTGCTATTCTTATCGTCGATTTCCTTGTTCAAACTTCCTGCGCTATCATGAACCGTATCTGGATTTGGAAAGTTGAGAGAGCCGCTATTGCGAAAGAGAAGGCTATGTTTGAAGATGGCGCTACCGACCGTGGTTACGAGATTGCTCCTGTTGTCGTCGGTTATCGTGAGGCTGCCGAGGACTGGAAAGCCTGTCTTCGTACCCTGCGTGACATGGACTGCCCTGAAGTCAAGGTCGTTATCGGTGTTTCTGACGGTGACCAAGGTCCTGACCAGGAAATGGCTCACGGCTTCAAGGAAGTCTGGATCGATGAGTTGACCGAGGATCAGAGGAAAGAGCGCCCTTGCGGTATTTTCCAGCTTCCTGAGCACTTGGCTACCGTCCACACCCGTCACTTCAACGAGTACCTCGAGTCGAAGAACTACCAGGCTATCACCTCCACCAGGATCCGCTTCAAGAACTGGATCGTGGGACACCACCCTCCTATGGAAGATGAGGCTCGTTCTTACGCTTGGGTCGAGACTACGAAGGAGGTCAAGAAGATCTTCAACGAGCTCGAGTTGCACCAATACAAGGCTGTTTTCTTCACCCAGCCTCACGGTTCTAAGCGTACTGCCATGTTCACTGGTTTCATGATGGCCATGCAGGGTTATGAGACCAAGGATTACCTCTTCACCACCGACTCTGACACCCTTGTCGACAAGATGGCTTTGACCCACATGGCTCGTATCATGGAGTCCGACCCCATGAACGGTGGTGTTTGTGGTGACGTCCGTATCTCCAACAAGACTGGCTCCGTCCTCGCCTTCATGTCTCATCTTCGTTACTGGTTTGCTTTCAACATTGAGCGTGGATGCCAGTCTTTCTTCAAGTGTGTTACCTGTATTTCCGGTCCTCTCGGTTTCTACCGTGTTGACCACCTCAAACTCGTTTTGGGTGAGTGGGTTACGCAGTCTTTCGGTGGTAAAGAGACCACCTTCGGTGATGACCGTCACTTGACAAATTGTATCTTGAACGCTGGTTACAACTGTCGTTTCACCCACTTGTCTGTCTGTGACACTGAGACTCCTACCGGATTCGTCCGTTGGGTCAAGCAGCAGACTCGTTGGTGTAAATCTTTCTGGCGTGAGGCTTTCCTTTTCCCGCGTATCTTCGTCTTGCACTCTATGTGGGGTTTGATTGAGTTGTCGAAGCAGTCTCTTTACCCTTTCGTGATCATCTCCAACGTCCTTCAGTTACTCTGGGATCCTCTCTCCGGCACCTGGCGTCCTGTTGCTTGGTTCGCTACCATCTTCGCTGTGGCGTTGATCAAGTCGTTCATCGCTGTTGCCTTGACTGGTAAGCCCGAGTTCTTGGGTTTCTCCCTCTACGGCTTCTGGTATTTCTTCGGTCTCTTGCCATCCAAGTTATACGCCATGTTGACCATTACCAAGACCACTTGGGGTACTTCTGCGCGTTCTGCGTCTGAATTGCAGATTGGTGACACTTGGAGTGAGCGTTTCTTCCACGTTGGACATATTATCTTCTGGTTCGCTGTCCTCTGTGCCGGTCTTGCCAAGTTCTTAACCGTCCGTATGGGTGGAGCTATCTTCGCTATTGCCGCTTGCGCGGTTCTCATTCCCACCTCTTTCCTTTACTACGATGTTGCCATCGCGTACACTCGTGTTTACATTATCAACCGTCTCAAGTCCAAGCCTGTCACCGCCGATGTCCCCATCAGCGAGCCTGTCAAGGCTACGACCGAGATCCCCGCCGATCCCGCTTCCATCGAGTTGCAAGAGGTCAAGATCTTCGACATCTCCCGTACCCAGTCCATCGCCGACTCCGGGGTCGGATCATCTATCCACACCGGCGCCGGTGCTGGCGAGGAGATCAAAATGGTCTTCGAGCCTGCTGAGCAGGACCCTGACCTTATCGAGGAGATCATTCTTGAGGAGCCTGAGCAGGCTGAGATCGGTGTTTCTTCTTTGGCTTCGCCTCGCCTTGCTGTCACTCGCGTGTCCTCGACTCATACTGCCCACTCTGCACGCACTCAGGACTCCGGCTACGACACCGCAAGCTTGGATCCTTTCTCGCCTTCCGCTACCGACCTCTCTCGTGGCTCCTCCATCTCCGATGATAACTACTTCTCCGCCAAGCCTAACTCGCTCTCCATCAAGCCTCACCTCCTCCTCAGCTCTCGTCGTCGTTCTTCGATGTTTAGCTCCGGTGGTGGCCGTCGCGAGTCTGCCATGTTGCCTTCTCTCCTCAAGACCCGTAAGGAGTCCGTCGACTCCATCGCCTCCGTGTCTACCATCGACTCCCTCATGCCTCCGACTCCTACCACCGGCAACTTCCAGGGCTTCGATACCAGGAGGAAGTCGAGCGTCATGCAACTTAGCCGCAGGGAGTCTACCCTCAAGCACGAGGTCACTCTCAAGACTCCCAGCTACAACCAACCGCACAAGATGCCGACCTATTTGTCGAACGCCTTGGCGAGCCCTACTAGCGAGACGAGCAAAGAGGGCTCGAAAGCCGCTGAGCCGGTCTTGCCAGCTCACTTGCAGGCTTTGAGGAACCAACAAAACCAGATTACCTTCACCTACTAAGGTACCCCACAGAAGGCGCAAAGGATATACAAAATCGGAGTTAAGGCTGGGATAAAGGACGGGACACAAGGAAATACTACGATAATGTAATGCATGAAGCTAACGTTGGATACCCCATATAAATTTAGAAAACCAACCCTATGTCACTCTTTAGAAATTTACGAACTTTTTTACACATACATACTTCAATGTCTCCTCCTCGCTCCTGAGTAGCGCCATATGATCTACGCTTTTGAAAAAGACGATGCGTCGTAACAGTACAAACGGTTGATTAACATCTCGTAAATGTTAGGGCTTCAACTTTGCTCGCTAAAAGATCGCTGATACTAGTCACCACCGGACATTCTTCACCAGTCATCATCCTCCTCCTCGTGATCCCTGCCATTGCTTGCCTGCGCTCGGGCCCGCAAAGCATCCGCCAATGATCCCGCCATGTTCTGTCCAGGACGGCCTGGGACAACAGGAGTTCCAGTACCCGACGTGCCGGCAGATGCACCAGGTCTCGGCGGTGCTGCGGGGGCAGCAGGGCGACTAGAGTTGGGTCTTGCCTTCGGAGGAGCAGGCATGGGTGCCTTTCCTGAAGCAACGCCAGCAGGCCTTGTCGCAGGTGGTTTTGGTGCACCGTTTGTGGCGCCGGGCAAAGGACTCGTCTTCCTCAAACCGTTCGGACCTGCGCCTGCCATGCCGGGGATAGGCATAGGCGCTTGTGCACCTCCGTTCGCGACGGGAGCACCCAGACTCGCAAGCACTGGGTTCGCGGTAGCGGCGGCTCTAGGGGCAGCAACAGATGCTGGCGGGGGAGGCGGAGGAGCGACAGCCCTCACCCTGGGTGGAGGCATCTCTTCCTTGACATAACTCTGAGGAACCCATCCGTCGCGTCCGTCCTTTCTAGCCAGCCACCATCCAGTCTCACCCTTCTGCACGATGTCAAGAACTTCATCCTTCTTGAAGGACAATTCCGAAGCACTCTGTCCGTTGAAGTCGTAGAGACCCTTATAGATCGGTGCTTGAGGTTCCTCAACGGCAGCGGGAGGAGGAGGTGGTGGGGGAGGAGCAGTTCTGCCAACAGAAGCCATAGAAGCAGCTGGCTGAGCCAATGTAACGGGTGCAGTAGTAGCAGCAGGCTGTCTGTGAGCAGGAGTAGACGCAGGCTTGGACCTAGCTACAGCCTGCATGTTTCTTGGCTGACTCGGCTTCAACAACTTGCCAGTCGTAATCGGCCTAACAATACCGGCCTTCTTCGGCGGCGTGGGATGCGAGACGCTGTTCGCGGGCTCACCTTGGGGCACGTGAATCGTTCCACTTTTGTAGACATCATCTCTTGGAACCTGAGGGTCTTTCTGCGCCTTGACTGTAGCGAACTTACCAGGCTTCTTGCTGTACTCGATGGCGGGACCGACACGGATGTCAACACCACGGTGTACGATGCGGAGACGCGTGCAGAATTCAGTCTTGAAGACACATGAGATGAGCGGATCAGGCAACTGCGGGCTTCCGATACCGAAAGACATCCAGTCGTCCCGAAGGTTGGTCATGCCAACATACTTGATTTCACCCAACCTGATCTGCCTCTCCGTAGAGATCTGCAACTGTCCATTGACAACAGCTTGGATGATGATGTAGACAGCCTTGTCCGTCAGCACCAACATCCTCGGACTTGGCTTACTCGAACGTCCAAGCTTCGACACCAAGACTTCCGCCTTACACGAGAACTGCACGTTCTCACCCGCAACACCCGCACTCCTCGCAATCACCTCTCCATACCCACCCTTCATCCCAACACCCAAATAATCACCCAAGAACCTCCTGCTTCCAAGGAGCGACATCCTCCTCCTCTCCTTCCTCCCCGCAAGCGTCCTGTGACCCTCATCCCTCATCTGGATATACTGCAGGTTGATCTTGTTCCGCATCCACATACGCTGAATCCGGATCGCGCACTCATTTCTGTACCTCAAAAAGTTCCTCCAAGCACGCTGAATACGGGTGGCCATGTTGTGCCAGTACCTATCTCGCATGTGCTCCAAGGCGAACAAAGTCTCGGGAGTCTTGATGAATGCCTTAGTAGTACCCATTTGGTACTCCTCGGCCGGTATACCCGTATCCTTCAAAATCTGCAAAGTACCGCTCTTCATATCACCCGTCCAGGTATAGTCACCAGCGTACGAACACCTCGGACTGAGCAAGTAAAAGCGCTCAACAAACTTTTCGAAAGTCTGACGATATGCGAATCCAGCGCGACGGATACGCACGTTCTCCTGGAGGCCGAGGTATTTGATCTGATGAACGACGTTCTTCTCATTATACTCCGTAGGACTCTTATTCTCGTTGGGCTTGATGGTGCGAATGTACGATGGCCTAGCCCTCATCAACGTCTGCACGAGATCATTCGCAGAAGCCTTAATCTTATCACCCGCAGTGGGCGGCCTCTTCTTTGAATCTCTATCAACACGATCGGGGAAGATGGTACCCAAGAAGGGGTTTCCGGACACCGCAACAAGATCAAGCAAATCCTTCAACAAGGCATCCTTGTTCTTGTCAGTCATACCCGAGACGGTGTACATCACGTCTCCAGCGTAATGCTTCACCAAGAAATGTCCCTGTCTACTCTCAAAATGAGGGTTAGAGCTCAAGAACCCAAGTCTCTGAACGAAACTAGAGTCAGCGGCACCACTATCCGCATGCGCCGTCGCGACAGCATCGTTCAACGCAGCAAAGATACCAGGCGGCCTCTTCTCCTCGATCAAATCACATACGATCTTGTTGTTGAAGTAATCGATAGGAGTCCACTTGATCTGTTCGCGGACATACTCCTCCTGCTCAGTCTTAAGTGTGAGCTCAATGAAGATCTGCTGCAGCTTCTCGTTTACGTAGTTGATACACAACTGCTCGAAAGAGTTCTGCTCGAAGATTTCGAAACCGTAGATATCGAGGATACCAATTGTGTACGCCGTCTGAGACCGCGCAGTCATAGAAATATTGACTCTGCTGACGATCCACTCGAAGAGGTTGTTGTAAATGGCTTTGCTGAGTGCATCTCGGACAGCTGTTGCTTGGGTTGGGTTAAGCGGAACATCGTACACGGATCCACGTCGTCCACCCCTGCTCGTCTCCATAACTCTAATAGTCAAAGCCTTGATTACAGCAGAGGCATCGACGTCCATCAGATATGCCACGAAGTTCGGTACGGACTCATCCGCAATCGCCGCATTTCCGTCATGATCCTCCACGAACTGGACGTTTCCAAGCCAGAGGATGATGGCCAACATCCGGAAGATCTCGTCCTGCTCTGCTTGGGTGAGACCGATGGTGCGCATAGCAGCGAGGGTATCGGCAAAGTCCTTGCTATCGTCAATTCCAGGAGCCGAGAAGCAGTTGGAGCGGGAGGTGTAGACGTAAGATTCAGGACCCTGCAACCCAAACATCTCCCTCTGTCTCGCATCGGCAGACTTCGTGAACTGATAAAAGATGTGGAAGTTCCTCTCGTTCTCGATCTGACCCACTACACGATTCTTCTCCAACAAGTAATTGGTGATGTTCGCACCGACGGGTTCGCCGGAGGTGTTGAACTGGATTTCGAGATACTTTCCGTGTCGCGAGGAGTTGTTGTTTCGCAGCGTCTTTGCACAACCGAAAGATTCGAGCAGAGGGTTCGTGGCGAGGACCATGTCCTTGACCTCCTGAATGCTCGATGATCCGGACCCAGAGACATTGGCGATGTACTGCATGATTCGTTTTGCCGCCTCGGTCTTTCCTGCACCAGACTCACCAGAAATGATGATACATTGATTCTCCTTATAGGAATTCATGTTGTAGTATGCACTTTCCGCGATCGCATACACGTGCGGCGGCATCTCCAACCTGTTCTTTCCACGATAACTCGCCAGCACATTCTCGGTGTAGATACCCAAATCTCGAAATGGGTTCACAGAAATCAAGACGTGGCCGATGTACGTGTAGATATCTCCATGCTCGAAACGCTTCTTCAGGTTCTCATTAATCGCCTCGTTGGAGATCTTAGACAACAGCGTCAGGTCAGACACTCCGACTTCGCGCTTCTTTGTAGACTCGTACACGGCACGCTTGACTCCTCCTTGTTGTTGCGCACCACTGCTTTTGGTTGCGGCCGAGGCGCCCTTGTTGCGGTTGGCACGTTTCGTTACGCCCATCCTTGTCGCGTGTCGATGTGATCAGAGAGGTCGACTTGTCCGGATAAATGCAGACGCTATGATAATGAAGGGTTTGATTGTGACCGCGACTGATCGGACGGTGTAGGTGTTTACTTTCGTGTCCGAACTTTAGGTGTTGTACTTGGCATGCGATCGACCGCGGTACTCGGGTTCGCGCTCGGCCCGCAGCGTCATAGGCGTGGTCTGACCGCTGTATCATTACGCCTCGCAGAACTCGTTCTATTTGTTTTCTTATCAGTTCGATAATAACCGGTTATACATATTACTACCTTTCGATAGTACTATGTTCGCTCCCTGATAGCCCTGGTTCCTCGCAGCACTTGACGTCGTCCCTATGGTATCAACCCCTCCCCTGTAACGACGATACACCCGCCCTCACAATGCTTCGCTCGTCCCTCTTGACCGTCGCCCTCTTCACGTCTACCGTACTCGCTCAGCTCGTCCCTCACCTCTTCCATCCTGCCGACATTGAGTCCAAGGGCGAGTTCGAGCCGCACTTTGAATACCTTCCCTTTGAACAGCATCAACAGCCCATCATGCCAGCCGATGACAAGGAGAAGACGATGTTGAGTGATTTGATCTCGATTGATAAGAGTTTGTCAATCTTCGGCGACTTGTGCCGTCAATACACGCACATTGTAAGCTTGGTGTTGATCGTACATCTACTCGCGATTGACTAACAGCGTCGAAATTACAGGAACACCTCCTCGAAGACCCACTGGCACACATAACCCTAATCGTCCCAAACAACAACGCATTCACCTCCCTCGCCCGAAAACCCTGGGACACCCCCTCCGAACCCGAAATCCACATTACGGAGGACATCGACGCGGACAGAAAGCGTTCGTTTATCGAGAGACATTTGGTACTTGATGATGAGCTTCTGGCGGGGAAGAGGTATCATACGATTGGTGGGGAGGTGGAGGTGTTTTTTGAGGAGAAGGAGGGGGTGAGGAAGCTGTTTCCCGGGGAGTTGAAGGTGTTGAAGGTCGAGACAGCTGGGAATGGGGTGTTGTGGGTTGTTGATGGAGTTGTGGAGGCGAAGTGAGGGGATGATGTTTGAAAGATACCCTGTGTGGAATTGGATGATGTGGGTTTCGATATGGTTATGTTTGGGCGGGTTTTTGGAGTTTTGGTTTGTTTCGTCCTTTCTTGGTGTTCCTCAGGAATATACGTCATTAATCAAACCTTCACATGTGGTCACTGCGACTTTCTTTCAATTGAGTCCATGTCATTATCTACTTACTGGTATTGCTAGCTTCGAATTCTGCGCTGAATCATTCACTACGATCGACTGAGGGAGTCAACCACCGGCCGCGGTACCAACGGCAATGGTCAATGACAAGGAACACCTGGAGGCCTATACCAGATCTCGTAGAACGGTTAAACGGTGAATAGACAGCTGAGAAGCCTGCCGCAAGATCTTCAACTCTCTCGGAATAGCAGTTAGTTGGATGTGGCCTTCCCATCACCTGCCTTCCCCGCGGTTTGAGCATTTCCCGCGAACTCAACCAAACCACAACCTACATGGCCAGCCACACTACTCAACCTCAATCAGCAAACCAACCAGCTCAAAAAAGCACAGTCGCTCTCTTTTCTCGTTCTCTTCGTCAGCAGTCTCCGCTCTGGAACACCACGGCGCGTATCTTGTCGCAAAACGCAGGATGGGTAGTGAGAGGTAAACCTAGGACCAAGGCAATGAGCATTGGGTAGGAAGAAGCAGCTCATGGATGACATAGATATTGAGGTCACGCCTACTACGCCTGGCGTAAGTATAGCTGCCAGAAATGGACCCACGACTGACAACGTGGCGTGCTCACAGGATGTCACAATCCCATCAACGCCGTTTTCGATTATTTGTCAACAAAGCAGCATGACTACCCAGCATACACCTCCAAACAACGCTTCATCCGGCGATGACTTCGTTGTCCTGATTGAGCGCGTCGAGCAACTTCTCTCCCGTTCACGCACTCCTGTCATCCTGGTTATCTCTCCCAACATCAACGACTTCCTCAATATCCAATTGCGGTTTGTGACTACATTACAGTCAACTCCCTCGCAGTCAGTCTAATGCTGGGTTACTAGACTCGTGAACACCTTCTCCGAGCAAATATCCGTCCTTCCGGCATTCACCCCGGACGACGCAGTCACTGCTATCAAAGTCCTAGTTACAGGCTACCACTCTGGTCTTCAAAACAATAGATCACCTCATGCACCCAATCCGCTCGGTCTCATCTCACAGATGACGACGCACCCACCGCTCGTAGAATCCGGTCCGTGACCCCCATCTTCCATTGTCCCCTTCCCGTCTTTCGCACTTTACACGGGAAGTTAACGCCTCAAACAGCTACCTACATGCTCCACGACATGTTTCCTTCCATTGCGGATATTGCCAACGCTACGGTACAGGATATGGAGGTGCTTGGTAAAAGGGATGCTCATGTGGTTGTCGGGTTTTGGGAGGAAGATTGGGTGTTTGGGTAGCGTTGGTGAATGTGGTATTGCGGAACTTTCTATGGGAATGGACGATGAGGTGGGACCAATATGGCAGATTTGAAATATGACACAGCAAACAGGAGAGTTGTGATGGGTATAGAAGTGCACGTGTATGTGTATGTGTTGAACCCAACCGACCGTGCCATTTAACTTTTCGACATCGCTTAAGATGTTGTTCCAGATCCGTTACTTCCATTTGCACCCTCGAACCGCAAAGATGCCATGAACATCGTAGAGCAGTGCCCGAGGCAAATGTCGTTCAAGTTGAATGTCGCCGACGCGCAGGTTCCCACGGGTGAGAAGCGGAAAGAGTGCGATGGGCAAAAAAAGCTGGAGCTGCGACCATTAGAGCAACCGGCATGACTTCAGAAACCCAGTGTCATTCTCATGCCCCATCAATTCGATTTGAGTTTCTTGCGCGTGGTTGTGTATCTTCCTGCCGAGTAAGTTATCGCCGTTTACGCCAGTACACTGGTACGGGTTTATGATCGTGAGACTGATCTTTCTTTCAGGACACCCGCGCCAGAACGAGAACGGTACGAAGTCGAGTTAGAAAAGATTTGGCAAGTACGATATGAGGAAGAAGTTAAAATCAACCTCCGTCCCTGGAGTGGATCCGCCGTGAGTCTAATTAATCTTTTGCTAGGGAATTCACTCACACGAAGCCGTTCAAGTCATCACGTTGGAGAATCAGATGCAAATTGCAGTCACTTATTTGCCCGATTCTATAATCAGTCGAGGCGAACTTGCGACGCTTTACAGCCGGGAACAGATCGAATCAGGTGCTCAACTGTTCGAAAAAACACTTCTCGAACTCCTGTCAAGACCTGCCTTGATGCCATTCGACCAGATCATCCCGGCATTTGCCCGTGTTTTTCAGGACCGCTGATTGGATGAAGCCCTCACCCGCCCGAGCAAGCACGGAGCTTCATTCAGAGAGCTCGTTAACTTGGGCCTGGGCACGCATTATTCTGAGGTCGTCTTCAAAGGTCAACTGTTGGTGGGCGTCGCATATCGCCCTCCTTCGCACTTGGCCCTGGGGACTGGAAAATGATACTGGAAACCGGACCACGTCATACACACTGTGTAGACGCTGTGTCTGCAGACCCTCAAAGGGTAAGTGACTGAACCTAAATTTGTTTGATAGGTTTACTAATGTGGGTTGACAGGGCCCGCGATACCATTAACGACCTTTGGAAGGCACGGTACCGCCAAACCGGGGGACTCTGGCTGGGAGTGCACACCTCCAAGATGCCTTCATGCAATTGCTTACGGGCCCGCTGTGCTTTAGACGGTCCACATGTTCCAGCAGAACAGACCTACCACGCTCTTGTTCGACATCGACCCCTACCTTGTCGGCGAAGAATATGACGTACGCTTTCTGGAACCCCACTTCTTTCGTCGAGACTTTTGCTGACCGTATCATTGTACGTCGAGATGCATAAGGTATATGGTAGAGAATTGGTCCCAGATCAAGTATCGGGACATGGTCGTGGAGAAGCCACCAGTAGTTGTGCCGGCGCCTACTGTTCCTAAGGCAACACCTCCAGCCTCTTCATCAGGTGGATTAGACTCATCCCTTAAGGTCAACGGGCGGGGCGTGCCATCGACCTTGTCATTGGCTGCTTTGGAGGGACGCACTCAAAGTGGGTTCTAAGTCGCGGAGGGAGGACCAGAAAAAAATGACCAGAGCGATAGAATCTGGCTGCACATTATTGATGAAAAGTGCCAAAACAATGAAATCAATCGTTCATTTGAAGAATCATGTAGCCATAGCCAAAGGAAACAACGCGAACTAAGATCCCATTCGCAATCAACGATACCAGAAGAACACTTTGCATGGTAAAACCCTCACCTCGCCTCCGACGGCACATACCCATCATCAGTATCCCCATCCTCCACACTCAACAACCTCTCCCTCTCCGCCTCCGCATGAACATTCTTCGACAAAATCCGCCTCCTAACTCTCTTCACCACCCATACAAGAACAGCAACGAGCATCAACAACCCTACTAACCCGCCAATCCCGATCCCAACCCATGCACCAACGGACAACCTCAGTTTAGTGGGTCGTGCTTCGGGACGGAGGGAGAGCACAGAATCGATGAGGATGACTTGAGCCCGGCATGCGCGACCATTGTTGAGGACACGGGCATAGACGTCTTCCGTCCTATCACCGAAAAGACGGATATTCCAATAATCACCATGAACCCTTTCCAACCCCGCCTCGTGTCCTTCCTCGCGCGTCTTCGTCCTTGTCTCGGTGTTTGCGAATACATCGTCGCGCAACAAATGTAATCGGAGGATCTGATCGATATTCTCCGTCTCATTATTGATCCCAGCTCTCTCGACCGCCGCATCCGTCGGAACCAATATCGTTCCCCTCTCCTCTTCACCTCCAATCCCTGCGTAGCTGAGATTCCGCTCAGCAAGAAGAGCGGGGAACAACGTCACCCCAGCCGCCTCGTACAAATCCTTCTCTTTAACATTACCCAATGGTACGTTCTCCAACGCATGCACAACCCCATTCTCACCCAACAAATCCCTCTTCTCATTATCCACCCTCACCCCCTCCACCATCACCGCTCCATCCTCCTCGACCGTAACACCAACGAGACCACCATCGACAGTCTTATACTCCCGCGTCACGAATTCATTCGAGTACGTCAGATTCCTCAACATCGCCCCCGCCGCCAACTTCTGCAATCGTGCCTTTCCCTTATGGGTTTCAGTCAGCCAAACCCTGACCAAACCCCCCGCATCCTCCCACGCACCATCCCTCGGCAGCAGCACAGTAACCCCCCTCGCCTTCTTCAAGACCTCCTTCCCCCCATCACCCCAAAACATCTTGACAGAAGTGTCGAAACCGTCGTTAATCCTCGTCACTACATCCAACCGGGGTGGAAGCTCGATTTCCTCACGGATCGGGTAGATGGTCGTGTTACCCACTCTCCAGCCCTTTGGATCGAGGATCTCGGCGTTGTTGACGTAGAGCTTGTCGTTGTTTGCGTCGTGGAGGATTGACAGGCGTTGTGCGCGGCCTCCCAAACTCGGCGAGCGGAGACGGGAGGGGAGGATATCTCCGCCTTCCAATACACCCTTCTTCTTCTTCTCGAGCGCGAAGTGGTACTTTAGCCGCTCGATGTGTTTACTCCTCAACCCCCTCTTGGCTTTCTGAACCACCATCCCCTTACGTCCCTGACCACCCGTATCCGTAGTCTCCACCTTCCTCCCCTCATCATCCAACACCGCAAAAATAACCTGCTCCTCCCGACCCCAACTATCAATCCACGCCCTCATCTCTCTAACCCCCCCAACACTCTCAACAAACTCCTCAGCACCAACACCATACAAATACTTCCTCGGCGTCCACTCAATCTCGACGGGGATGATGGATGGGATGACGTGTGCCACACCCCCGAGTAATATGAGGTCATGTTTCGTGGTGGGGGTATCGTTAATCGTTAGCTCTTTGCCTTCGTGGTCGAGGGAGAGGGAGAGTGCGGGACCGGAGAGGGGAGGGTGGTGGGATGTGTGGCCGGGGAGTAGGTCTTGGGTGTAAATGACTGAGTTGTTGAGGGTGTGGGAGCTTGTGAGTCGTTCTGCATCCACCACACCCCGGGGATGTCTCAAATACCGGAGTTCGATGTCGTTGAATGCGGAACGCATAGCTTCATCGGTTGGGATGATATACGTCGTCGTATTCCCGAATCCCGCTCCCAGCTCACTCCAAATTCCAAACTCCCCACCGTCCTCGTCAGTAGCGCTTCTTAGGAATTCCTGGAGTGTGGGAGGGAGTGGGAGGGGTGTCTCGATGATCTGCAATACCCCGTTTTTGGCTTGCTGGTCGTACGTGAGGACCTCGATTGAATGCGCCGGATCATACCCAACCCTCACCTTCCCATCCGCAGTTTTCCATACTTTAACACCCGTCCCGCGACTTACATGTCGCCCTGCCACTCCCATTCGGGAATCCCACACCTCGTCTTCAGCCGTGATATTCCCCGTCCACAACTCACCCTGTAAGATATGGTACTCCCAATACTCCCTCCTCGCCCACGCATCCACATCTTCTTCCTTCAGCAAGGGTGCCAGAAGCGTGATATTGGTGCGGAGGTTAAGATCGGGGATGAGGCGGGCGCGTTGGAGGGTGCGGAGGAGGGGGAGGTGGGATGGTGAGGAGGAGAGGAGGGAGATGAGGGTTTGAGAGGCTGTGATGATTGTTGCGAAAAGAAGGGTGAGGAGGATTCTTGAGGGGTGCATGGTATGATGGTGAGTGGTTGAAGATGTGGGAGGTCGGTGGCTGTTGGCGAGGAGTGATGAGGGGGCTGTTTTGTTTCAGTCGAGAAGCTCGATGGTTAGGAGCCTGGATGGATCACCGGTGTCGTTCTTGGCTCGACCGTAGAGGTAGAAAACGTCCGAATTGCCCACCGGCGTATGAACGGAAAGCGCTCGAGTTCGATCCGACCAACTGTTGGTCCGTTCTTTGATCCGAGTAGGTGATCAGGACTGTCGTCGTCAAGTCGAGGAAGCTCACAACACGCAATCCAAGACCAAACAGCTCTCAGTGTCGTACACGCCGTTAACTGAAAACGCAATCAAAGTTCCTTTAACTGTTAAGTGCTGTTACTTTCGATCGGTCGTCGTCGTCGTCGTACATGCGCCACATGCACATACCCGTTGTACCCAGATTACACACAGCCCTCGACGTTTGCCTCCCGATCACCGACATACGAAAGATGGCAAAGACGGGCAAATCACCAGTGAGAGAGGACGCGAGAAGAGGAGTGACATTGTTGAGTTTCTTTTCGAGGGGGGCGGCGAGAGGCGTACCGGGCGATCGTGCGCCGGGATCGGGTGTCGCTGTCAAGCAAGAAACGGGTGAGGCGGTTGATGATTCTGGGGTTGATCTTAAAGAATGTGAGGATGTGAAGATGGAAGGAGCGACGTGTCCGATATGTGAAGTGATATTGGATGGGATGGGTGAGGAGGAGAGGATGGCGCATGTTGATCTCTGTTTACGGATGGATGATGACGAAGATGACCTACCACAGCCACCAGAGATTGCGATCAAGCAAGAGCCGGGGATCGAAAGGGAAGATTCAACACTATCAATACAACAACCACAACCACCAGACGAGGGTGCGCAGGCGTGTCCGATCTGCGCCCGATCACTGAGCACCCTATCGACGGCCCAAGCCTCCCTCCACGTCAACGCATGTCTCGATCTCGGCCTATCCTCCCAACCTCACGATCAACAGACCGACATACAACCCCCCGCACCTGCGCCCACACCACTACGCCCCACCCCCTCCTCTTCCTCCTCCTCAAATCCCTTCTCCAACCTCCCCTCCCCCTCCCTCGCCCCCTCCACCACCATCGCCCCAGCTACAGCATCAACACCCTCAGCCTTCTCGAAACTAATGTCAAAAACCTCCACCGAAGAAAAGCAATGGGCACGAGCCGCCGCACGGGCAAAGAGCGAATGGGGAAAACCCGCCGCGACGCGGAAATGCCCTTTCTACAAGATCCTGACGTTCCCTTCCTCCGGAGCCTCGCTCGTTGTTGATGGGTTCAAGTATGGTAAAGTACCCGGTATCGACAACTACTTCCTCACACATTACCACTCCGATCATTATGGGGGTCTCTCACATACGTGGTCGCATGGGGTGATATGGTGTTCCCGCATCACCGCACGGCTGGTTATCGAATTCCTCCGCGTCGACCCGAAATGGGTTAAAACCGTCGAAATGGACGTACCCACCGAAATCAACACTGGCTCAGGGCTTACGGTGACCGCAATCGACGCAAACCACTGTCCCGGCTCCGTCCTGTTCCTCTTCGAACACTACCTGCCCAACTCCAAAAAAACAACTCGATACCTCCACTGTGGGGATTTCCGTGCGCATCCACGGATGGTAACGCACCCCGCCATCAAAGATAAGTATCTTGATGGCGTGTGGCTCGATACGACGTACCTGAATCCCAAATATGCGTTTCCACCACAGGTTGAAGTTGTTGGTGCTTGTGCGGAGTTGTGTCGAGGGATTGCTGAAGGTAAAGCTATTCCTGGCTTAATATCCACTCCTGCTGAACGTGGCGGACTGTCGCGCTTTCTTCCGACCCTCAAAAAGGAATCAACCGGCGACGCGACCGGCACCAGCGAGAGTGGGAGACTCTTGGTTGTCGTGGGGACGTATTCGATTGGTAAAGAACGCATCGTCATCGCCATCGCCCAAGCCCTCTCCTCCAAAATCTACGCACCGGCCCGAAAACGCCGTATGCTGTCCCTCATCGACGATCCACTTCTCTCCTCCCTCATCACTGATGATCCGAGCGAGGCACAGGTGCATATGGTTTTCCTCAGTGAAGTCGGAGCGGAGGGGTTGAGAGACTACCTAAAGAGTTTGGGTGGTAAAGGCGGGTTCGAACGCGTCGTGGGGTTCAAACCGACAGGCTGGACATTCACCCCAGGTAAATCCCGCACAATCGACTCCACCCCCCCCGTCCGTGAAATCATCGACGAATGGCGCAACACACCCCCCTTCACCCCCTCCGCCCTCCTCCCCCTCCGCGGCTCAACACCCAGCGCGATATGCTTTGGTGTCCCGTATAGTGAGCATTCCTCATTTCGAGAGCTCACGTGTTTTGTTAGTGCGGTTAGGGTTGGGAGGGTCGTGCCTACTGTTAATGTTGGGACGGAGAGGGGCAGGGAGAGGATGAGGGGGTGGGTTGAGAGGTGGGAGGGGGAGAAGGGGAGGAGTGGGAGGTTGGGGGTAATTGAGGGGCAGGAGGGGTGGTAGGGTTGCGTGTGGGGGTGAGTGATGGCATATTTGCATGAAGGATTGGGTTATCGGGACTGGTTTTGGTGCATTGAGGTTTAGGGTTATTGCAATTGGTGTACGTTTGCCATGGACAAATTTTGGTGTATCTTTCGGATGAAGAGATGTCTAGGATGCCAGTGCTTGGACGGATTGGAATTCTGGTGTTAGGTTTAGCTTATGACTTGCTATACATTTTCTTCATGCTTCATCGCACTGCGATTGTAGCAATTGTTTTGGTGGTCATTTTCTACCTCTATCCATTTGGTATATCCCAAAAACATAACTCTCGTATAGCCAGTCCGCCACGCTCATCTTTTTCATCTTTTTTCGTAATCATCTGAAGAAATACCCTCCATGATATTCAAAGATCAACAGTAACTCAGGGTTGTCCAGCGCCAGCGCCAGCACTGAGACACCCCATGAGCCTTCGAATTCATCAATGAAAACGGTTTTAGCCGATGAGATCGGTCATCCCAAGGCCGGTTGGCACGGACTTTCCCGCAATTTGATATTCTCGAATTCCGAAGAGCTCCATTCCACAGCTGATCTCAAATCCTTCAGTGAGACTATTCTACGCCGGTCTCCTTTCTCAGAGAATCCTGGTTCAAGGTCGTGTGCGTAAATGTACCGTGAGTCTGAACCAGAATTCGCGTGCTACGATATCGATCCTTCCAGGACTCCCCCGAAAGTTCCCACGCCTCAGATAGAGAGCTATCATATAACGCAGATAACGCTCAGCTGGACTAAGAAGGGATGCTCCAATACAAATCACTCTGCACCACCAGTAGCCCTGACATTCTACGTCCTAGGCGAACGCACCCGACGTCGTCGTGCTCTTTCCAAACTCTCTCCGCTAAAGGATGAAGTGGGCATCTGAACTTAAGCACCGTGAAAGCCGGGCACTGTCAGTGGGGACCAAAATCGTCAAGGAACATTCCACCTGGAATTCCGAGTTTCCCTTGCACCATGAACAGGATCACGTTTCTCACTGACGATGTGGAAGGACTCCAAGCTCACATCAGTCGGGGCAGTGGACAATACTGTTGTGCACAGAAAACAGGGATGTCTTTCTGAACCCACATCTTGACCGAAAGTTTGCACGCATAACTTTTGGCCGGCGTCACTTCTTGCTTTATCTTTTACGTCCTAGAGGAGAACTAGCTCCACTAGGTCTCTGGTAAATGATATTCTAACTTCGTCTATCTCTCAAACATTTTATGCCTCTTTTCACCTTTCCTTCCTCTTTAGATATGTCGTTCCGTGTTACATGTTCACCACCACGATGAACATGCAACGCCTGACAAACCTTTTTCATCAAGAAGACCAGACGATGTCACGGTAGGCTGCCGAGAGGCGATCGAAGTACCGGTCGACGGCACCACGACAAGTCCTCGCGCCCATTCTTGACCTTACTGCAGCTCATACGTAAACCCGTCAAGGGTCAACAGCTAGAAGATGATGTTAGCTTGCTCCGGCTCACATGGTTCATAATACTTACCACAAACGTCCACGAAGTATCGACTGTAATCTTGACATCTTGGCGACGAACCGGTTTCATGATTGTCGGTCGGGCCTCGCATACAAGAAGCTGCGCAAGAAACGAGTTCTCACGCTAAATGCTGGACCTTTTATTGTATCTGTATCGTTATGGCGAAAAACTGGCGATATGAATCATTTGTAAAAGTCGGCGCTCGAAAGGCCATGCAATCCATTATTCAAAGTTACGAGGTGATACGCTATGGCGCACAACATGCTATCCGGACCTACCGAGCAATTCTGAAGTTGCGGTACCTAGTACACACATATACCTCCCGCCCGTAAAGAGCGCTAGGTAGGCTTAGTCCCGGGTCCCACCGCTTGATCGACTGCACCCATGGGTGCTTAACGAGGCTAGTGATTAGCGCTCTTACCAGTTAAAGGATCACAATCATTCAACATTCAATCTGTTTACAGAGTTTTGGAAGGGGGGAGTACGTCGACGTTTGACCTCAGCATGTGAGTACGCTCGTCTGGATTACTGAAGGACAAGACCAGAAGGGAATTTAAAACATGCGCTGCGTTTGAGTGAACTTATCAATGTTCCTGACAAAGGTGCAAAACTTCGTTCATCCGCTGCCGGGACTAACGAGTTGACATTGCAGAACCAGCAAGGGCCGAGATTGTTGATACTAGACGAACTACACGAGGACTAGCAAGTACTCACGCACTGCATTCAAACTTATTCACCATCCAGACACTCACCAAGGGAATACCACTTCCGTTCCCTTGCTGCCCCGAAGCGCAGTAACACAGTGCGTCATTGAATTATCGGTGGAAGCTTGACGTAGCGCTGCTATCGTGAACTTGACCGAGAGTCGGTACCGAAGTCGCACACCCAAACCGGCAACAGAGTTATGTTCACTTTCAAACTCCACTCCATTCTCACCAAATCATCCAGCATTACGACAGGCCGCGATGACGACAACATCAGTCCATCCAGATTTATTCGTCACAGTGACGATTCTCGACGCAGTGAGGTTGAAGTCGGCAGTCAGCAAGTCCCGGTTGCTACCTCATCGCACACAAAGACCCTGTCTGTGAGAATACTATCAGGGTAAGAGGATCATGTGATTTGTTCAGTCAAGAAAGCTCCTAATCAAGACTCAGCTCACAGGTAACGTGTCGGGTAAGGAAGGAGGCAAGCCTGGACCGCGAAGGTGGCATAAGATCCACGGCGAATCGTAACAGCTACACCGGGTCATAGTCCAGGTGATCGGCGACACACGGGTGTGTTCTTCTAACTTGCGAGGCGGTTGATCTGCGGAGAAGGTGGAAACCGGCGAGACGGGATAATGATAGCGGACCATGCCTCTGTACCGACCAAGATGTTGATCATGTCTGTCGCCGTCCTTGACTGCCATTCACGATGGATGTACGTATGACTTTGTGGGAGCAAGGACGCGACGAGAGTGATGACAAAGCAAGAAATGACGACCGATGGATGGATGAGAATTCAGGTGACTGATCATGGTCATCGGTAGAAGCTAACCGGACAGTATCGCCGTTTGTGTAGTTCGAGTGATGATTTACGGCTTTGACGGTGGACTATCGTCCAGGCGAGTTGATCGGGAGGAGCTCGAAGGGAAGGTTGAGTTAAGTGGTCACCGTTCACCTTTCCAAACTCCAAAGCACCGAGCCAGAGGAACCGGAAGTTCGCAGCCAACATTGTGTTTCAGACACTTGGTAGTAGCTGATAAGAGTGAAGATAGCAATGCCTCGAGTATTGTCGATGATAGTGCAAGCGGTTAAAGCGCGACGGCAAGACCAGACGGAGACGATGCAAAAGGCGATTGGTGCAGTGTGAGGCCTGCCTTCATGATGCTTGCCTGGCGAGTAGGAAGGATGTCGAGGCGAAAAGACGTAGAGCAAGAGCGGATGACGGGTGATGAGGAAGGAAGCGAAGAGGCTAGGAGACGACGACGGAAGACGGGTGAGGATTCGTGGGGGCTGGCTTGCCGAATCAGGCAACTCTTATGACCCCAAAGCCGCTTTGATTCTTCACAGATCAAGTGAACGACGTGTTCCCTTCGTGCAATAGCAATATTCCCCAGCCAGGACCAATCAGCTGCACGCAATATCGACGGCGGCCCGTGCACTGTAACTTCAACCGACAACGTAAAAGTACGTCTAACGTCTTGTGCAGCCCATCAACACAACCAGAAGGGACGGTGCGACTCAGATGCGATTCGAAGTCCTCCTCAGTCCTCCTCATTCCTCCTCGAGCCTTCCGCGCCCCGAGGTCGGATCATGTAGCACTGAAGGATGACGTTGGCAGTTGTACGCAGGATGTTGTTTCGGAAGTGATGGTCGCGGCTGAGAATGCCAGTGTGCAGTTCAGGCTTGTCACCGGCGGGGGTTTATGCTCAGTGTCAGTTATCTCCGCCCCATCTTCGACATTTCGCAGCGTGCGACAGCTTCGGATAGCGATATTGCAGAGCATGAAGTCGATCAAAAATCGATTGCCTCTACCGGCAGACCACCCAACTCTAACGTCATCAACGGGAAGTCGCCTCGTACATCTTGATTTTGAGGTCGCGACCCGCGCGCCGGTGCATTCCTCCGAGATTTGAGTCGTGCAGCGGGGCGGAGGAGGATGGGAACTTAACGGCTGTTGACAACATATGAATGCAGTTGAAAATGTGAGAGTAAAGTCAACAACTTCGAGAGCAGTGGTCAAGGAGACAGTGGAGGTTGTCGACCTCGCGGGATCATCCCCTGAACTGCCGGTGAAGTGGCAATGACGCTCGTTCCAGTGCCATATGGATCTTCATCGTGTACGTCGTCGTTCGTCAACAATCACAGCAACATAGCACCGTCTCCAGTTGCACTCGAGCACCGCATTCTACAAGACTTCATCGTTGTCGTACCATTCATGCGTTCCTTGCTCATTTCTCTCTGTGAGATCTTCAACACCTTTGTTTTGCGTTTGGATCAATGGCAGACGTCTCTCGTCAACCGTGGCCGCTGCGTACACGTACTTACGAAGAAGCGGATCCGGTGAGGGTATCAAGGTATGCGATCTGCGAACTGCCAAGTTCATTGGCCTTCTTTAACTCCTGCCTCTTGTACTGCTCGTGGCTGGTGTTTCCCACTGTAAACATCATAATTGAAACTGTTTCACCCTAATCGTCGAAGGTCGCTTACTGCCGCCAATGGAGAGCTTCCTTAAGCGCTTTGGTTCACGGGTTTTGACGACGGCCATGGCGATGTGAAAAGTTCGGTCACTGAGTACTTTGGGTATACCCACATTCCTGGTCAGTGAAGTTGCTTTCTTCATCCCAGAGACGCCGCTATATTGGTCGAAACTGACCGAGGCGTCATCGACGCAATGTAGAATCAAAATCAAGATGTGAGGTCCACGTCCGGTGGGAGTGCGCCGACGATCATGGCTACAATGACTTCAACAATCTTGCAAGATTACACCGATACACTGGTGGCATTCTACGACCTAGGTTTTGCTGTGTTATACCAGTTCGTTTGTTGCGTCGGTATCGAACGGAAAGATCGTAACAGCAGTTAAGGGGAGGTCAAGTCTAGTGCAATGAACTTTCAATTCTCGAAGAGATGAGTAGAACCGAAATGGAAATCAAATCGCGTGCTCCTTCTGCACAGTTCGGAGGAGAAAGGCTACCAAGGGGAAGAGGCTGCTGCGAGCGAGCATCAACGGAGCACGGAATACGTATCGTACGAAAGACGTTCCCTGCCGAATGCAATTTCAATCAAGTTTAGAAACTCAAAAGATCGAAAAGAGAGAGTCACAAGGTCCCGGCGGGACGATAGCCACTTTTTGACGTCTAAGTCCCACTGCCCGTCCGGAGACCTCTGCGCGAGAGCACGAGGTGTCGCACCCTCCCCGGAACTCACACTGGATCCCCGACGTCGCAAGTTGCCATCTCGTGTGTGTGCCGCAACCTACCCCAGTCAAGCCCCCTTCGGCACCCCACTGGTGCACCTCACCAGTGGACCGACGGAGCTCTGTGTTAGCTTAACTCATGTTATAGGGGGGAAACTCACTTAGTCACCCCGCGAAGCGGGGGACAGGTACTCAAGTCTTGATGAAATATATGAGGATCTTTTCGGACGGAAGAAAAATTTGAAAAGAGACAGCTGGAGGGTTCAGGCGACAAAACAACTTCGATCACTTTACAATCTTTGGATGTATTACACTGTAGAACATGTACGTCCTCGTCCTCGAACTCGCCACCACATACACGTCTCGCCCGGTCTGACTCGATATGGACATGGGCGTTCCAACCCGAGCTCGATCTACGAAGCTTTCAGACATCTTATTGACCACTATTACAATGCAAGGAAGCTGCCGGCCGTGGCTGCGGCCTGGGGGACGATGACGGCCTTGATACTTCCTTCAAGTCCCGATGTGCGTGCTTAGAACCCTAACCCTAAGTTCTTTGTGAAATGGACTATTACATCCTGTCGAAAATATCGTTTTCTCTTCGTGATTCCTTTTCAGCTGGGTTGAGTGGGCTTAGCTTTTTCGGCCGCTACTTGTCAAATTTGCCAAACTTTCTTCCCACGGTGTCTGAATATGACATGCTCGCCACCAGCTGCGTCGACTGCACCAGTTCTTAAACTTGCCCACGACAGTTTCCCCAAACATTCTCAACGGCTTGACTATACAGATGCTATTTTGGCGTCCATGGATCGGAGCCGGAGCCCGCCTCAGACCGCACGGTTTATCTGAGGCAGTTTTTCAAAAACATATATTATAACCACGTTGCCGGCACGGATTATTGCGTCATTCAGGTTCGGAAAAAGTGGTTTGAGGAGCGTTCTGAATACACCGAGAGTAAGCTCATCACGGCGCAGTGGAATGCTCTGGGTATGGTTGTGTACAAGACATTTGACTTAGCACAGTATGCTAGAGAGTTGCAAGTCCTTTGGGACTTTCGCTTCGGGGACGATGTCAAGATTTTTTTGGACTCCAACACGCAAGTCGCGTTGATTACGTCGAAAGGCAAAACATACGAAGTTTCCTACACGCCGCGTTGCCTTCAAGAGCGGTATGACCGCGCCGCAATAAAGGCGCAGGGTATCCTCCAACGTCGCGCGGAGGACTATGCCACAGCTTTGAGGCATTTCTTGAACGAGGTCGGGATGATTAGCCTCGACGATCTTTATCCTGCTTTCAGCACCGCATCTCACGGCAAGGAGCTTGAGCTGAGTCGCGCAGATATGCCAAGCGCGAGCATACCAGACCTGCTGCGCGCTCTTTTTGGGGAAGACTACATTGAGTTCGTCCACAAGTCAAAACTCTATGTTGGCCTCAGGTACCGGTCCTGGGATCTCGACACTGCCTGGTATAATAAAAGATACAAGGTGCAACACGCCCTTACCACAATGTGTCTCGATCATCCGCATGTCTTCGGTGAATCACTCAATGACTTGTTCAAGCTTCGCTTCTCAATCAGCGATAACATGCTGATTTCGATTTCCTCATCGTTCGTCACAATTGACATGCTCAACATGGGCAGACGCAATACTCTTCTCTTCGAGTTCATGAATGTGGATGTTGACGCCTACAAGCTGGCGGAGATAAACAAAGTCAATGGTACTGGTCAATCCCAGATCATATACCGAGATACCATCATCGACGCGGTATTCTCCCCTACCATCGTCATTAACCACCACCAGGTACACGAAGGTACTCCGGAGGTGAATCCTGGACCTGGAGGTGGAGGTGGACCTAATGGGGCGCCACAAACTATGTCCCCATCTCCCGCAGCACCCCAAGTACCAGCTGAACCCATCCCCGAGCCCGCTCCACAACCGCCGCCGGCACCCGCAGCAAAGCCTGGACCTCAGACGTCGAGTCAAGTACCTCAGAGATCTCAATGGGCCGAGTTGACGACCTTTGGGTTCGTGACGGGAGCGAGCGGGATGTTTTCGCAGGCGGCCGAAGACGGATATACTCAATCAGGCGGGTACTATTGAGGCGCGATATCACAAAAATGAAGGAGCTTGAAGTTTATTTTTGGAAATTTATAGACAAAAAGGGTAAAAATTGACCTCTTCTTTCCAATTAGGAAGCTCTGAACAGTATCGCTCTGTTCTTCCCATTGTTGAGGACCATCTTTTCGATAAGAGGGTCAGCTATCGAGTGCTGGTTTGGAGGAAGTCAGTCCACAGGTTCCTCAGCAGATATTTCTTTGCGAGCGCCGACCTTGCGCGCTAAGACGCGACCGGACCGTTTCCGGAACAGGACACAGTACCAGACCTGCAGAGTGCTACCGAAGGGACAGGGTCTTCAACGTGACTCACACTGGATGTTTTCAGAGCTTTGCGGTCGTAACTCTCCTATCAAATAGACGCTGATCTTACGGCCACTCGTTCTTCGACGTTTCCCACGGGTACCCTGAACGCGCAAAATCCGTTGTTTATCCAGCCTCGCATACTAGGATGTCTGCGAGCTGTACTTGTGTATCAATGATTGTGTCAACATTCCGGCAGATATCGATTGGGTGTCGTTTTTAGTCCGTAGAATGATGCAGTACTGTACAAAACCTGTCAAGAGGCTGGTCCACTTGCGCGCCGTGAACGGTACGACTTAGGCACGCACATGAACAATGATCAATCCCATTCGCGAAGATAGAACATATAAAGCAAACCATAGAGAGTTATAGTACGTCATCACTATCAAACAAGTCACAACCCTTCTTCACAAACACATGTCCCGCTCCCATGATACCGACAGAGGTGCACAGGGGCGTTACCATTCACAACCCGCGATACACCAACCTCTCTAGGAGAACAGCGCATCTGAGCCGAGAACTCCTTCAACCAACCATATAGCTTGTCCTTTTCGATTGATCCAAGCGCGGTATATCCTCGGATACCTCGTGTAATGGTATAGTTTTTGCGGAAGCTTCAGCTACGAGCAAGACACATCTGCCCTGAGAATCCGAGCTGCAGCCACCTGCAGTTGCTCCATGGCAGCCAGGTTGCACGTACGGACGATTTACGAGGCAGTTTTTCTGTATACGAGCTCTGTCAATGGATTAGTACTGCTGGGTATGACTGCCATGAACACCGAGGAACCCCGTCTGTGCCATATGACGCCGGCGGAGACGCACACGGTGCGAGCTCATGGTCAGGAACTTTAATACCATATTTAACAGGAGAGCTAATCGCTCTCTTGCAGTTGACGACGTCATCCGGAGTGCTCTCTGAGAACCCTATCCTCTCCCGCCAAGACGCGGAAGGCTTGTGCGTAGTTTATGATACTTCTTCGCGGGTCACGTGATCATTAACTCCTGGGTGACGTTGGTATATAGATTTAACTACCATACTCTCTATGAGACGCTTAAGCTTGCTTCCGAGATTCATGAACATGAGCGGTCGTGTTTGCAGTTCGGTCAATACATGTGGCAGCCATGAAGGAGAGGATTGGATGGTTCACGGGACGGGTCCCATGCGGACGACCGACGCGTAACAGCGTGGAGATCATGGGGGGTTGGACTAGAGAATCGGTGTTGCCGGTGGTGTTGGTGGTGTCGGAATGGTTAGTGTGGTCGCTGTTGCTGGTGGTATTTGAGACATCGCACGGTCCAGCAATTATCTCCAATCATCCTGCTGATTAACTCGCTCAACATGTTCTACAACCATGGGGGCCGCAACGTCCTCAACACCGCATCCATCAGCGGTCAGCGGTCAGCTGTCGGCAAAAATCAAGCTATGATCTATCAGTTCGTGTCCTTGTCGCATTCTGCAAGACACCACCAGGAATGAAACGTGAGGCGGGGACATCGAGGGGCAACCCATGTTTTACATGCCTTATCTTGCCAACATCTGGCTAGAATGCGGGTGAATTGGGGCCGATGGAAATGAAACCTTTATGTTAGGCATCAGGGGGGCAGCGGGCTGCTTTCGGTGGCAATCGAGGAGGTGCTGTTGGTCGTGTTCTTGTGCCGTGGACGTTCAACGAACGCTTTGAACAAGATGTCCAAAGATGCACGACCGCATCGCATCAACGAGGAATGACGGAACGCGTGATTCTCTGAGATTCAGGGACGATTGTGGAAGTATTATTTGAAACGGTTGGAAAATTGCCAGATACGGCCATACCATGATGAAAGCACAGGATCCCGTCCGATCTCCTAAGTTAAGCATCATAGGGCCCAGTCAGTACTAGCGTGGGAGACCAGCTGGGAATACTCGGGTGCTGTATCTTTAGTGCATGGTCTGAAGAAGGTTCTCTTTTTAGTGAACAAACACGAGGATTTAGACTAACCGAAGCTCCCACACTCGCGAGTGTCTTTGAGATGAGTTGGCATCACGTCAAAGCGGGTTTTGCGTTAATCTGCCGCCTTCTCGACGATGCGTGAGTTGTGCCAAGATGTTCAAGATGTCCCAGACCGTCGTGTCAACTGAGGGACGCGCATGACTCGCCGTTGCTCAATCATCCATGCAACTGGAAGCTCGACGTGAGATGTAGGGAGCCAAACGGGTGCATATTAGGTGGACAACACGACGTCGCCATGACCTTTGCCTGAGTAGTCCGATGACTTCGAACAGGTCACATTCGTCCTGGTGCTCGACTGGAGTATAGACCGAAGCATATCCACCGACTCGATGTTTACAAAGTGCGTTATCTGCGAGGACGCAGGGTTATCGATACCTATGATAAGGGCCATGTTATGCTGTGGCAGAAGGATGAATGGACAGTATTATTCTGTTTGAGAAAACAATGGAAACGATGCCTTTCATGGCCAGCCCAGATTGGGAGAGCCTGGCGGATCGCCCGTCGACGGAGATCACAGCCGACCCCGCAAACCCGGCCCCGCACTGCAACGCACCGTAGTCGCCGACTAAACACCAAGATGATGGAGGCCTAACCCTACCGATTTGATAGCTGTCGACCATCCTACAAGGGAGCTTACTGTACTACCTGAACAGTCAAACCTGCTTCGGCACTAAATCGTTTACCTACAACGAACACCAGACCCTACCTCTTCTTCTCAATTGATCCGTCACACCACATCTCAACATGTCATACAAGCTCAAAGGCCGCAACGTCCTCGTCACCGCCTCCTCCAACGGCCTTGGCGCCGAAGTCGCCCGTCAATTCGCCGCGGCTGGGTGCAACGTCGCCATCAACTTTCACTCTTCCCCCGACGCCGCAAACACTGTCGTCGATGCCTGCAAAGCCGAGAACATCTCCTCCATCGCAATCCAGGCCGATTTGTCGTCCAAAGATGACTGTGAAAGACTCGTCAAGGAAGCGAAGGAGCAGTTGGGTGGGTTGGATGTTGTTGTGAGCAATGGTGGTTGGACAAAGTTTGCGCCATTCGAGGATCTGGAGGCGTTCAGTGATGAGGAATGGGATAAATGTTGGACAATGAACGTCAAATCCCATTTCTGGTTGTTCCGTGCTGCAAAGCCGTTCTTGGAGGCGAATGAGGATGGGGGTGTATTCCTGATATCCTCCTCTCTCGCGGTAAGTTGAACTTTTTCGCTCACCACCTCGTGATACTAAAACGACAAACTTACAGGCCCTCAAACCATCCGGCTCCTCCCTCCCCTACTCCACCACCAAATCCGCATCCCTCCACCTCACCAAATGCCTCGCAACAACATCCACCCGAATCCGCGTCAACGCCGTTCTCCCCGGTCTCCTACTCACGCAATGGGGCCAGAAGTTCGGTGAAGAGAAGATTCGGGAGATTGCGGAGAGGGCACAGTTGAAGCAGGTTACCGAGGTGGAGGATGCGGCACAGATGTTTGTTGGGTTGGCGGCGAATGGGGGGATTACCGGACAGGGTGTTTGTGTTGATAGTGGGATTGGGTTCAAGTAAGTGAGGGGGGTTGCCGAGGAGTCGTGGGTTCGAGGTTCGGTGGGTGTTACTAACTGTTATTATGTCTTTCAATTACATCGATATCGAAATCTGTTTTCTCGTTCCTCGATATTGACCCGACACCTTGTGATCGCACGTTGGATTGGATTGTGACAATCCGTTCGAATTGGGAGAAGAAGCCGTGGCATGCTTGTACACGGGCCTTGGATGATATCGATAAGACATGATATACATTTCCATTTGCAAGCAAGTCCGCGTACGGACGAACGATCCCCAAAGTCCTCTTCATAGGACCGTCCGCCCGATCATTATGCGGTAGATGTGGGCAGTACTCATCATCCTCCGTAATCCTCTAAAACACCATAACCGATACTACTGCTAAGGTCATATGGATCACTCCACAATGGCACCATCAACGCAAACACCATCCTCCATCACCGCCATCCTCCCCTCCATCTGCTCCTCCTTCCGACATCCCTCCCCTACACCTCAGCCTGCAAGTTCTACCGATCCTCACCCTTTCCCACCTCCATCTCCCGCCTCGCCCTTTTCCTATAGCTAGCCACCGCAACCGGCAACATCACCGCCCACCTCGACCCAACCGCCCATGACGCCCTACAACACCCCAATGTGATCGTCCACCGCCATAGTTGATACGGAGTTCCTCGTGCGTGCCGTGATGATACCACCCTTCTTCCTCCGAGTCGGGTTTGCAGGGGTGATTTGACCAAGTGTGCGGGGGCCGCGGCCGAGGAGGAGGGAGGGGCATTTGCCGGCGATGACGGAGAAGCGTAAGTGGAGGCCGCGGTCCTTTAGGTTTTCGCAGATCGTTCGATGGAGAGCTTTTCGTTGGGATTGGTCGATAAGGTCAAGATTTCTCGAATGCACACGTGGCCGGTAATGGGTATGGTCGTGTCACTGGTGCTGTAAAGGTCATGGAACATGCATATGCCTTCCGTGACAAGATATTTCAGGTGTCGTGTATTCCGACCTCGCTTCACCCTGTCGATCTCCACATGATGAAGATCTAGGGAAAGCGATCAATGGGCTCGAAGTCCGCGATGGGTGTTGTAGATGAGGAGGAGCAGAGCAGAACCGATCGCCATCACTCCCCACCAAAGACCTCCATCAAGAACTCCTCGGCATCAGCCTCAATTCCAGGTTCTTCACTTTCTCTAGGTCCTCCGATTGCACACTTCGTGATCCGATGAATTTGAAGCCATTGCTTGACCTTGTGGATTTCACCCTCCCCCGCAGCGTTCAAGTCCACAAAACACATGGTCTTCCCCTCCTCTTCTGCCTCGTCTACGCCCAGCTTGGTCCCACCTATTGCTTTCTCCTTCGGACCGCGTAGGATTGTAAGGATGCCATTGGCATCGTGCATGTTCAACTTTGTACGTTCAGCAGTCTCCGAACTTGAAGTTTCGCGGAGGAAAAGGATGTAGGCATCGGGGATGCGTCCGCGTTCGTTGGTGAAGTTGTGGGGGACCCAGCCGGTTAGAGGGATGGAGAGGTGGAGGGCGGTGCGGATTGCCGCTGTGTCGACACCGGTTTGGGCGCCGGAGATGATGGTGAAGAGGGAGGTATGTTCCATGAAATTGAGACCCGCCGTGGGGTAATGCTGAGCAGAAGGAAGTAGAGGACCTTAGAAGAGGAGGGTCAACGAGTATCGTGCGCCTTGTCGCGGATGCAGCTGTTTCGGGGACGAGATGCAAAAACGGGACACAGCTGCTCTGCAATATGGATGCTTAAAGGATTTGAATACAATAGAGCCCATCTTTAGAGTTCAGAAGCAGCTGTTCCATCGGAGTTGTCTATAGTCATTCCTTAACCGATATATCCTATCACATCCCTTCAATCCCTCTACCGCTGCTGCATCCGATATGCTCTATAGTACTGTGTAGTCCTCTAGCCGTCCCCCACTATAGCTACGGCTTGATCCCACCCCTGATCTGCTTCGTATACTCATACAACAACAAACTCGCACTCACATGCACATTCAAACTCCTCGTGTACCCATACTGCGGGATCTCAATAACCTGATCCACCTCGACCAACAAATCCGCGTCCACGCCCTCCTTCTCCCTTCCGAGGAGTAGGACGCATTTTTCAGGGAAGGCGTAGGTGCCTAAGACGACAGAAGAGGACGATTGTTCGAGTGCGATGATGGTGTATCCCTCTGCTTTTTTCTCGCGGAGGAAGTCTTTGATACTGGGTTCTTTGACTTCGTGCAGCGGCATCCATACTTCGGAACTCACGCTCACGCTTTGAAATCCGGCGGTTTTGACGACGGTGATGTCGTCGAGGCAGAGAAGCTCGGCGCGCATGATCTCAGCCGTTCTGCAGATTCCAGCGAGGTTTGGTTTTTGAGAGATGAGGGAGGCGACGACGATGATACTGCTGCGGTCTTTGGCGGTGTCGCGTTCTGCGTCGGCGTTTTCTTCGAGGAAGGTATCCCACGCGCCACTCTTGCTCTGCAACGCACCGCTTGCTTCTTCTTCGACTTTGGTAGGTTCGTCCTCGACAACCTCCCCAGCAACTTCCTCGTACTCATCCGCACCAAGCTTCACTTCCCTTCTGTCGTCCGTACCGATCCTTTCGAATACAGAAGGCTGAATCCTTTCCGTCTCAGTCGGATCACACAACCTAACCATCTTGTGCCACATGACCGCAAGCGTATGGTCCCTGACAGGATCAAACTCACTCAAATACCAGTTTTCTGCAAACTTGGCGTGAATGGACGTGTATTGAGGCGACGTCGCGCAGTACTCGGCGGTCTTAGCGAACGCTGAGTTGCTGGTAATGGGCTTGATTCCAAGCTTTTCTGCATCCTGCCAGATTTTGAGGAAGGAGGAGGCAGCGTGGTGACGCAGTGCGCTTCTGTTGGCGCAGGTGAACGGCATGATGTTCTCAATTAACTCCTTGTGGACTTGCTCACGAACATCTTCTGGCGCAACCCTAGCGTGTACGACACCGATGTTGATCAACGAGATGCAGACGTGCGGTCTGAGCTCCTCCTTACCCTCGGTAAACAAAGCCCAGACCTTCGTCTTTATCAAATCCAGTGCAGGGAAGAGACACGCAACCCGCACGATCGCCCATTCGATGAAGCATTTAACACTCGGCATACTCTCCACTGACAGCGCGTGCAAAAGGTTGTCCAAAACGCCCTCCACAGCCTCCTGATCCAAGAACCTGTCCAGCAGGATAACGAGACGCCATTGACTCAGCTTCAATCTATGCTCAACCTGATTCTCATGGTACACCTTCGCCAAAAACTTAGGCTTCAACGCATGCGCGAAGACCACCTCCCTCATCCCCTCCGCAAACTCCTTCGCGTACGGGTCCGCCGTCTCCAAACGAGCGAACACGTCGATAAGGCGTGCTTTGGCCATCACGTCGTGATCACCGTAGTATTTCTCATAACTTGCGCCTTGTTGACGGTGTTCGACTTCATCCAGGATGTATCCGAAGGTAATCTCCAACTTCTCGTCCGTGCCGCGGAATGGGTCGTACGAGAAGATGTCGTAGATGAGGTACTGGAAGTAACTCAAACTCGCGACTGCGACGCCACGATCCGACTCATATGTTCGAACCCAGAACTCAGCTAAGCGCTTGACCAAATGCGGCACAATACTCCGCCTGTTTCGGCCCGTCTCGAGAATGTTGTGGCCAGTGTTCACGAGGGCGGCGTACAACTCCTCATCAGCGATATCGGCCATGATCCTTTCGCAGCCGTAGACAGCGTCGATGAAAGACATGCATAGTTCGGCGGACTTGAAGACAGATTCTGGTCCTACTGAACACATCTCGTACATCTCCTCCACTAACTCCGCTGCTTGTTGTGTCGCCTGAACTTCGACGGAGAATTTTTCGTACAGTGATTTGAAAGACTTCAACATCTGCGTCAACGCTTTCGGCTTCGCTTTGGATACATCATGTTTCAAGCAGGTCAACACACGGCTGACACGTTCAGTGGTAAGGCTGCTCTCTTCGGTGGTGTCGAGGAACACCCCTACAGCCGCGTACCTCTTGGCGAGATCTTCATCCGCATTCTCAGCTTGTTCTCTCATTTCGTACAGCGTTGCGGCTTTCTCCGCCTCCTCCCCACCAGCCTCCAAAGCCTTCAAGAACCTGCTTTCTGGGTCAGGATCATCCTTGTTGACGCTAGCGAGCCACACGTTCCACTTTGCCTCCTCCGCGTCCCCCTGATCAACAGCAATCTGCTCTCCAATCATCCTCTGCACCAAGTTCGCCAACAACTCCTTCCGAAGATCCGTATACATTGACCCCTTCCTATTGCTCGTAACGATGGTCTTCAACAACTTTGCGCTTTCCTCGTCAACACACTTGCCGATACCGACGAGGTAGTCGGCGATGGCGAGGAGGAGGTAGGTGGTCATACCGGCAGTTTGCGCATCCTCGACCGTGAATTTGACCAACCTCTTCATAAACTCCTTCTCGTCCGCTTCAGTAGCCTGACTTGACATGACTTCCTTCGCCAGCGCGAAGACATGGTTGCCGTGAACACAAACTCCAATGGCGGTCACTGTGAACCACCGAGGCAAGTCCGCGAAGGTCAAGAGTGTGCCGACCAAAAAGTCCCACTCACTCGTGATGCCCTTGATGGAGGCGGCAGTCGTGGCGAGGTGTTTCCAGAGCAATCTCTTACTCGCATCACTCTTCGAGCCCAACCCAGCTCTCAACAGGATCGTCGCCCAAGTCGCATTTCTCGGGTCTTGTGGCGGGGTGGAGGAGGAGGGGGTTGATCTCTCGAGGAGTTTGGTAAGCGGTACGAGTGCTGGCCGAAGCTGATGTGGTGAACCCTCCTTAAGAATTTCATACAAGTCGAAGAAATTAGACCACTCTGGACTCCGCTGACGATGCTGATAATTCAACTTGGGCAACAGCGCCGTCGCTCTCTTCAGAATGTACATCGCCAACTTTTGGGGTAGACTCGATCCTGACCCCAATCCCTCACTCAACAGTCGCCAGAAGTGAGCGGCGTTCAGATAGCTATCTCGTCGCTCCCGGTCGATATGTTGGGGTTGTGACCGGGTTCCATCGTCCAATAACATAGACTCTGAGACCTTGCTCAACCGTGCCCAGAAATGTATCAAAAGTCCGTATCCGGCCTCGACCCAAAGAGTACTCCTTGTCCTTACCAGCACTTGTATTCGTTCATAGACGAGCTCGTGGTGGAACGTTGCACCATCTGAGTTGGCGAGTGATGTTCCGAGCGCGGTGACGGAGGCTTTGACGAGCTCCACGTCTCTTAATCCGGTCGCACTCAAGAATGCCTTCAGTAATCTCGGATCATCCGATGATGGTGATGCGTGACTCCCCAAGAACTGCAGGTAGGCCAACATAACTTCCCGGCTCGGGCACTCCTGACCCTCATTTCCCCTCACCTCCTCCACGGGGTCGATCTCGAATGCCTCGTCGCTTGACCGGTGCTGGCTCTGTGCTTCCAACAAGAATCTCTCCAACTTCTCCAGGATCGTTTCGATAACCTTCTCATGCAACTCCTTCCACTCCTCCAGTAACAGCGCAACCTCATTGACCACCTTCGCGCTCGTGTTCGTCGGATCGCGCTCCAACAACTGCACACACTTCCCATGCAGTGACAGTAGGAGCTGCTTGTCCGAATATCTCATCCACGCAAACGGCTGTACGGGATCAACCTTCAACACCCCCCTCAAAGTCTCCAACAACGAAACCACCGCATCCTCATCCTTATCCGCGTCCGTCTCGCGTAACGACGCCGCAAGACTAACAGCCAAATCCCTTGTCTTAATCTGTGGCCCGGATTGTCCATGGCTATTGATTAATGCCAACAAAGCCTGTAATGAGGCCATTTTTTTGTGGACGTCGTTTCTTGATTCCTGGGGCTATGTAACGTCGACTTTTTGGCAAGCCCTCGCGTGCCTGAATTGACCGAATGAGGAAACCAGATCAAAGGGAGAGGTTTTAACTCAGAAACCTTCCGTTTTCCAATTAAAATGCTAACATGCCCTCGCGCTCTATGATAAAAACAGAAAGTACAAACAAAAGGCGTACGAGAGCTAGCATGCGAAAATCCCAGAAACAAAAACAAAACATTGCAGATCCTCCCTCTCATTCTTTCGTATTCTCTTCCGTTTATCTTCCCTTCTCTTCTTTCTGCAGATCACATAATCACACAATCCTTCTCCTGCTTCTCCTTTTTCCCCCCATTACCTTCCTTCTTCCGTCTCACCCGTCCACCCCCCTCACTCCCACTCTCACTACTCTCAATCGGCTGCCGCACACTTCCCTGTCCCCCAACATTAACCCCATTCAACCCATTCAACCTCGCAACAGCCCTCTCATCCCCATGCTCAATAGCCCTAGCATACCATTCCCTCGCCCCCTCCACATCCCTTCCCCTCCCAATCCCCATCTCGAGGAAGTATCCGACAGCATACTCCGCTTTGGGGTTCCCGGCTTCCGCAGCCTTGAGCGCCCACTCAAACGCAAGTGCCTCGTCTTTCGGGAGAGAAGGCGGCGCACCGACCATACACCACGCGCACAACGCCAACATCGCACCCGAATGCCCCGTCCCCTCCTGTGCCGCAATCGCATAAAAGTGAATCGAGAGTCCCGCGTCCGGATGGAGCCCAAGCCGTCCATACTCGTACGCCTCACCCAACCTAAACGCCGCCTCGACGTGTCCGAGTTCCGCGGCTTTTGTGAAGAGCTGTGCGGCGTATTGCTCGTCTTTGAAGATATTCGCTTCGTCTACACCGACGAGATGGAGGAGTCCCAACTCGTACGGCGCGGACGCATAGCCCACGCTCGCCGCCTCCGCAGCGCGCTTCAACCACTTCACTCCCTCCCTCCTATCGCGTTTCAGTGCCAGATCGCCCGCCATGTGGGCTTTTCCGAGTCGTAGCATCGCACCTGGGTGGTTTGCTGTAGCGCTCTTTGTCAAGAACTGTACGGCCTTATGCGGATCCCGCTTGCAGCCCCATCCATACTCATACGACAACCCGACCCTCCAGGAAGCTTCCGCGTGTCCATGTTTAGCAGCGAGCACGAAAAGCGGGAACGCCCTCTCCAAATCCGGTTTCCCCATCCCAACCCCTCCAGCGCCATCCGCATCATTCTTCCCAATGACTCCGGTCGCATAACAATCTCCAAGGAAGTATTGTGCGTTCACGTGACCCCTATCCGCCAACCGCCTCAACACCCCCGCCGCCTCTTTGATGAGTTCATTCTGCTTACTCTTCGCCTGACTCGGGTCGGTGGGGGATAATTCCTCCGCACTCATCTCCCGTGCAGCATCAATCATAAAGCACGCAAACTCAAACTGAATCGCCGGATCCCCCGTCTTTTTCGCATTCGCCCGATACATATCCAACGTCCTCGCATGCCCCAACAAGCTCGCTCCACCCCCAACCGGGAGTGTCGGGGTTGTGGGTGCACTCCATGCGGCTAAGTCCGGGAGCGAGTTGGTCCGGGAGTGGGGGTCGGTTGTGGGGGGTTCGAGGTAGGGGATATTCGCACTATTCGGGGTTCCGGGCCGGATGCTGGGGGAGAGTCGACCACCGTAGACGGAGGGGACGAGGGAGCGAGCACGGGATGCTTGTCGTGTATGCGCGAGTGACTGTCTATGCTGCGCTGTCGTAATAGGCTGTTGTGCTTGTCCGTATATCGACCCAGACCCCGAACCCGCCGCCATCGCCGCGGACATATTCCGTGCCATCCTTTCCCGATCACTTCCGCTACTCGGCGAGTCGGAGGGACTGTAGCGCTGTTGTCGCCCTTGTCCATATGTATTCAGGTTATGTTGCTGTTGACCAGCGCCCGTACCCGAACCGGAGCCAGAACCGGAGGTGTCGAAGGAGGTATGCGAACTAATCGAACTCGTGCCACCCAGTCGCTGCTGTAACGCCAACAAATTCGGCGAAGAGGCATACGCTGGTCCCGGATGATGGAGGGACAGGGAGGGCTGTGGCGAGGGGGTTGAGGTTGGTGGGGCTGGAAGGGGTTTTGTTGCTCCTTGTGGCGTGGTCATCTTCTTGTTGTTGGAGAAGGGAAGAACAAGTCTGGAGAATGAAAGCTGTTTGTTTGACTTGCTTTTGGCTATCGATAACCAACAGCTGCTGCTTTGAGGTGTCACCTTTATTCCTTCCCGTTGCTGTCGTGCCGACGGATGAGGTTGTCCGTGTGTCGATCGCGATCACCACAACAAAAAAAGCGCGACAGAAAAAGTCTTTCCTTCAAACTTGGCTCCGAAGTATTTCAAACTCGTCAGGCTTTCTGCTCGTCGGTAACAGTTGATGCTTGAGCTCAGGCCTTACTCTGAACCAACCGTCGTCTTTCCGTTTGGTCTTGGGAGGTTAAGCCGGTTGTTAGTGCGCAGCTGCAGTGGGGCGCCTACACCTACACAAAGCCTGCCCTGCGCTAATAATTCCGATGATGATGCGATGACTTTTGCTTCGAGTCGTTCGGCTGCGGCGGTTCTTCTGCTCGAGGGAGCTGTGCTAACCCCAACTTCACGGGTCGCTCCGTCTTCACACATACACGCGACACGCCTGCACTTTCCCCCGGAGACGCGCTTGCCCCCCAGCCCCGGCGTGCGTGCCCGGGGATGGCACCTGGCGGCGTTGGCGTGTTGCTAAGAATAGAACGCAGTGGGAGGCGGCCTACATACAACCTTCACTCCATGTCCCGACTTACGTCCATGCGTTCTCTCATTATCATTATGCCTATGCTCATCGTATCCAAGGTATTCTGGCGGTCTCAGCCGCACCCCCATGTCCATGTCCGTGCTATACCCAACAGTTAATCCCAATGCCCATGCCCATGCCCATGCCCAGCGGCAATCATACAATCTGTCTCATAACCCTCTACTCCTCGCTCTCTTCATCCTGCTCCTCAACCCTCCCTCTGCACGCCTCCATAACCCCCCACATCCCATCCTTACTCAACATTCTCTCCCCCTCGACTGCCTCAAAAATCTCTCTGTCAACCAAACTTCTCATCCATGCCGCTTGTGTCGGTTTCTCGCCCCGCGCACGACGCGAGATGAGGGAGAGCTGCCGGTGAAGGGTGTCGTGGGTCGTAGCGGGGATGGGTTCGTGTTGTTTGATGTAATCTTCCACGAGCTCCATGACCCCGCCATCCTCGTGGGGGATTTCGTCGATGCTCATCTCCCTCCCCTCCGTCCACCAAAACTTTTGCGTGATTACTGCGTCACGTCGTTGTGCCCTCTCCATGTTCTCCCTAACCTTAGCCACCTCCACCCTGGCCCCTCATCCCCTCTCCAACCCCGCCCAAACCGCGAGCACCACGAACGTAACGAGGGAGGCGTTCTCGCTGTCACGGAGCTGTACATCCATGGGACGGAACTCGACTTTCCAGCCTGAGGAACCGGAGAGAGGAGGTGGTTTTAGGCGGGTGGTGGGGTATGTTGAGGTTGTGTACAGTGTCTGAAATGTCTCGTCACTCTCCTTCTCGTTGTTCGATGGTGGTGTTGGGATGAGGTCCGTGGGGAGGGTTATGGGTGCGGAGAGTGCGCGGCCGATGGTCGAGGCAAGGCCGGGGTCCACTGAGGCTTTTTCCATAGCTGAGGCGATGTCGGGGAGGATTGGGGAGGCTGGGATGTCGTTTAGCTTACGGCGAGACCGGGTGAGGTAGTGCTCGACAGCACCCCACTGCCTCACTCCACCCCCCTCCGTGTCTTTCCCGACCCGAATCGTGTCCATCTGCGTCCCCCACCGCGTATCCCCCCCAACCACCCTTCCCGCAAAAAACGGACTTGCAGCACTTAGTGCCAACATGACCGGTGCGAGTGGGAGGAGGATGTCGTGAGCGCGACATGCGTCGGCCATGGATTCGAGTTGGAGAGTGACTTGGAGGCCACAGCTGAATGCGCCGATTAACGTCCCAGGTGGGTTACGAAACTCGATGGTACCCTTGGGGGGCGGGCGGGTGTGGTGCGAGCACGTTGACGCCAAGGGCACGGTGGTGGAGGCACGGGAGGACGCGGTGTATAGTTCGCCGCGTTGACGGTATTTCGGGAGAGGGGTGATGAGGGTTGGGGAGAGGGGTGTGAGATGCGCTGGTGGAATCGATTCGGGGGAGAGGATTGGGAGGGTTGACAGGGGGAGGTAGTGGGTGTATGGGGTGCAGACGGTTTTGACGGCGAGTCGTCTGTCATCACCACGCATGTTAGTCTTGATACATCAATGAGCAGATCCGGGCTATGACCTCGTCTGCATGTCTTTTTGCACGCTCGCCAACCCATCAAGCGTCCCAGCGTATGGTATACGGGGTGTGTGCTCAAGCATACTCGCACCAAACTCAGCTTGCCACACCCCCGTATCGCCATGACTCTCCTTTAACTTCTCGATCAACAACAACGACGGGGTAGACGGCAGCACGAGTTTATGGGTCGGCGCGAAATGCAGGATGTGGGATTCGATCTCGTCGCCGAAGGTTAGTGAGTCGGAGCGACGATGGCGGTGAATGCGGTGGAGGTGGAGGAATTGGCGGAGGGCGGTGCGACGGAGGGAGTTCATGGGATGGCAAGGAAGCGAGGTAGGGAGAGGGACCATTGTAGCGATTTGGGGGATGTATGCTACGGTTGTTTTGTTTGGTGTTTTGTTTGGTGGTGAGTTTGGGGGTGTATGCAACGGTTAGGGTTAGGGTTAGGGTTAGGGTTAGGGTTAGGGTTAGGGTTAGGGTTAGGGTTAGGGTTAGGGTTAGGGTTAGGGTTAGGGTTAGGGTTAGGGTTAGGGTTAGGGTTAGGGTTAGGGTTAGGGTTA